GGGAAGGTATTGGCGGAGATGGATGTCTGTTACATGTTATTGATTGGCTAGTGGTTAGTGTTTCTACACCAATCATACGTTGGCGCAATTAAAGTTTGTTGTCGTCATGACAATAAACAAGTTTTGAAATAATCATTATTTTCAAACGATTGAAAATTAATTTGAATAAATGGAAAGTCGTTGATACCCTTGATTCCATCTAGTGTGCCAATGGACATGATCAAATGCATCAAAGTTTATCTAAAGGCTTATCAAGGTCATTTTCGGCCATGCTGATGATTTCTAAGAAAGAATTACCCTCGCATTAATAGCTATAGCATATTGAAAGATCTTGCCATAAAATTAAGACAAATTCATTCATCAGGGTTTAAGACGTTCTTGTTACGAGGAACGTTCCAGTTGACCTTCCCGGAGATGTAGGCGTATTTTACATATGTGGTAGAATACCGTACAGAGTAGAAATCTGCGAATGGTTGCACTATTCAGAATATGCACATGTACTTGACATTCTTTTGAAACCAATCGGGTATATGAGAGTTTAGAAATTTGTTGAATTATGGGACTATTGCACCACCATCTAAGTTTTGGCATTTCTTTCGGTCAATTCTAGTTTCCTTCAGTCGCTTTCTAGGCTTTAGAATTTGTTCTCTCAAGATGCAGTTTATTTCTTTTTCTGACTCTACAGTAAATCAATCTACATTTGTCTTGAAATACAATAACCACTTTTGTGTCTTTGCGCTATCATACAGAATATGATTGTCAGGAGCTAATCAATGGAAAGGTCTTTTGGTATATCAAAATCCAAGTTCCATTAATTCCACATATAGAGTGTACAGTATCAAAATAATGTGTAACACTAACACTGAATGGTACTACTAAAACTCCCAGAACAAAGTGTGGATTGAGAGTTGGTTGGATATTTCGGGTATAACTTTCAACAGAATATTAAGATTTATCATGACCATAAAGAAGTATAGAAGTTGTGATAGAATAAGCTTATTCCGTTCAGTGTTTGTAGCATATTTAGTTACAAGAAAATGCTACAACAGCTTCATTAAGACGACACACTTAGTACTTTGCATTTGCTTGTACATGTAATTAAATATGTTGCAGGTATTGTTCTGAAATTAAAATTAAATCCTAGTATTGAAGTCTGGCTTCAGTGTTCATCAATGGTTAAAGTGAATTTTTAATTGTTAACACTGAAAAACAAGGAATTTCAAAGCAAACATTAAGTGTTACAGATATCAATCAGACCTGTCTTAACAAATCTTCAGTTGTCCAAACATTGTTTACTTTATATAGCGAATCTTCACTAATGCTGGTTAACTCTGACCAGGCTTTGAGTCACTGGGGCCAGCACTTGCCAAAAAAATACATGATTGTTATTGTTGGTATAGTTTTGGGATAAAAGAGTCTACAAGAGTTGAAATCAAATTGCTCAAATTGACTTTACACTTTCCTTCATCCAACGAGTAGTGAACAGTCGACAAGATTCAGGAATTTGCTCTCTTTGCTTGGTAAGTGAAATAGATGTTTTCGAAAGCTCACAAAATACAGTTTTAAATTGCAGTTTGTGTTAAAGATACCAAGCTGATGAATGTCGTTAGTTTTAATGAATTTCAGTATGTATCATAATTATGCTGACTTGTTATTATGCTCGTGTGTTTTTTTGTTTTGTTTTTTTCATACCGAAAAAAGACCATACGTAACTAGTGGCTAGCTATATTTTTGTACCAATTTTGTAAATATAAAAAATAGTTTTCATATATTTTTACAATGAGGTGACTTTTATGGGGTCCCGTTTTAGTATTTATCTTCAAAATGTGATATCAATAATTCGAGTTAGTTATACCAATAATTCTCGACATTTAGTTATATCATTCATTCGAATTCGTGAGAACGATGATTCAGTTAATGATATGAATGCTTTGAACTATTGATGTAAAAAGATAAATGATTGATATCAATAATTACGGGCATTTGTACATGTCATTAAATCAAATAAGTGATGACAATGATACATTCGATTATTGATATCAATTAATAAGTAACGATTTCAATTATTCGAAATCGTGATATCATATTTTGTCAATTTCTGATTCAAGTAAGACATGTCCTACATTAGATATCAGAAAACAGCTGCGTGGGTTTTGGATGGGTATATCATGAACTACAAAAAACCAGAGTGTACTCTGTTCATAATCCACTTCGTAGTTTCTCCATATGCCTTCTTTAAATGCCTTTATAACGTATTGAATATTCTTCAGGTTAACCCTTTATCAAAACATGTTTGTACACAATAATTATCCACTTTATGGAAAGTTTATGATAATATATTAAGTGTTTACGTGTGCGCAACAACAACACTTATAAAATACTTATACACGTAGCAGTGAGAACAGACTTGAAACATCACAGAAAATGACTTTTTGAGTCTGAGCGTATAATCTTTAATGGAACCTAGTGGTATGAATAAGGTCTGATGATCTCATAACTAACGTTGATGTCAACATGTCTAACGTGACTTCATCTACGTCTTAGCTTAATCGTCGTGGATTTTGCCATCAAACGATTATTTCCATATATCTGTAAAGCTTGTAATTTGGTTCAGATTTAGTCGATAGAGTACATTTGTCAATCAGATTTAAGTACAGTTAGAAGGTTGATCTCGTTTATCCAGAATCTACGATAAGATAATTTTAGCACTGATGCGGTAAAAGTAGGATTCTGATTTGTGACAACAAGCACGTTTCAGGAAACCTGTTTTATATACCTAATGCAATTTCATTGTATTTCAAAGACTAAGCCGATCCATTAGTCCTTAATGGTAACCTTTTACTTTTTTTTAATTTATGAAGTGATTGGTTCAATGGATGAATTCCAACGTGACATGCAGGTTACGGAAAACGAAGGGGATATTAAGTCCACCAGCACCAGCAGTGTCCACCTACTGCTATCTAAAGACACACAAGTGAATAGAAATAGAATAATCAGTGCCATATAAGGAATTTAACAATACCATACAGCTGGTTCCTCCCTCTTTAACTCACCATTGATGCTTAAGGTTTACCTTTCGAAACCTAGAAGGCGACTAAAGAAAACCCAATGTGATCTGGGGAAAAAACCCAACAACAAACCCAAATGGGGATGTGTACGGGCTTGTTCCAAAGTTCAATAATTCTGGTACATGTGTATGATCTGAAACCATTTGAATGAATTCAAATTTATCATGCTGGTTACAGGAAATCTTGGGAACTTAAGAGATTAACAACAGTGTTTATCACTGGATAGCTGAAAAACTGCATCAAAGATACAAAATTGAATAGCAGTTAGTAAATAAGACACGCGATCAACTTTAAATAAATACGGTCGACATTATTGCGAATAAGAATAAATAACAACCTGTCATAGACTACCTATCATAGACTTGATATGCGGTGTTGAAGGGCTGTCCTCAAAAAATGTAGATGACAGGGTTGTAGAATTTTGATGATTGCATTGTAATATATTGAACAGAGTAGAGCAGTATTACCTTTGAAAACCTCCTCACTCCGACCTGAGTGTGCAATTGATACCATATTTGGTCTGAGAAAGAAGGTAAAACACTCTATTGTTTTGTTTGCTTTCTGCGAGAAAGGAGCGGCAGTCAGGATTGTGATGAAGAAGTAAGACGATATTGTAACAATACCACCACATATACACAATAGGCAATCAAACATATTTGTTTGTTACCGGCATTGGTTTCACTGTACAGATACGCCCATTGAGATTTAGTTCATGAAACGGATGAGCATGTCAATATGCCGGAAAGGCATTAACTATTGCCATAAAATGGCCCCTGAAAACTCAGACTGGGATAACATGAAACTGGCATACGAAAATAATCCACGCATGGGGGTATGTTATGAGTGAAAGATATATACTATCTGAATATGGTTTTTGTATAAGAAATAGGCGACAATATTGGAAGACAACAACCGCTCGTTATCTCAAAACGATGAAAATAACTTTTATGGAAACAAAATGTTCCACATTTTGAATGCAGTCCCAGCACAAAAAAAAAGTTCTCACTATGTGCTTAATAATCATCCATTTGTCTGCAATGACGCTTTTTCGTAATTTATCTCAAAAAGTTCCTATTTCAATGTTTAATGTGCATGCTTAAATCAACTCATGAGTGAGCGAGTAGAGTACGTGTTTATAATCAGATATCTTAATTGAATTTTTTTAATCCTTCACGTGTTTCTTTGAAACTTTCGATTTACATTAAATCTAATTTTGACATTCTGGACATGACATGCTCTAAATCGTTGCGTGCTTTTGTTCGTTAATTGTCAATTGTAGACAAATAACCATGTCCAGGTCTGTTTGACTTCTGTGAATATGTCTTTGCTAAATCGTAATCTACAGACCGAAACATACGTTGCAAGTAACATATACCTGAAAAAGTGATCCTCAAATGTCACGTTTGTTTTTGTTCTTGATGTTGAACTCTCTTGTTTTGGTGTATACAGTAACTGTTGACCGACAAGAATCCAAAGCAAACTGATTACATCTATGTTTAATTTAACAGACAAGATTAATTAAATCACACATTACATTGTGAAAATGTCATTACCTTTATCCTTACCAACGCAAATATTTGCGATGTAATTAATTGAATTGTCATTTCTTTTCATGTGAAGTAATTAATCATTTGCAATGGTAGGATAACATCACATTTCATAGCTATTACATGTAGATGGATTTAAAGAATTCCACTGATGTATCATAAAATCTCACAAGGCTACACATGAAACAACATTCTATGTAAATTCTGACGTTACAACTTACGTCTGCAGTCTGTCTTACAACACAACTGTAGATTAATAGAGTGAAACGTGCATGTAATACCCTTTGGTATTTATTATGTCTTTAAGCTACTTGACGAGATGATAATGAAACTTGTGTATCTACGGTTTCTGGACCAGGTGGCTTACTGTAAGGTTTTAAATTACCTTCCCAGTTCTGTATCCAGGGATAATTTCTTCCCAGCATAGTTTTGCACTTGTACCAGCTCGCTTCATTCTTAGTTCGTCCTTTAATGATAACATAAGAGATTTAGCATTTTTGTTCCATCTCAAATTCGTCCTCAGTGTTAATGGACGAAAAAGTCAGAATTAATTGGGGCGAAAATTTCCCGTTATATAGTAGTAAAAGAGATATTGTATGGATCTTGGGGAGTAACTCTTCGTTTACACCTGGACTTATAATCTTTGTACTTTTTCAGGAGTTTCCTTGTAGGAAGGTGCGTATGATTGTAATACTAATTGAACACGACTTGCTAGCATTTCGTCTATAAAAATATTGGATCATGTAAATATAAGGTTTCCTATGTCAATGAACAAACATATCTATTTTTATCATATACACGGATTGTAAATGCGTAGTCAGACATGGAAAAGTAAGTACATTGTATGTGTTATCTAAATATACCTTGATATAATCTTAGTATCGGGGTCCAAATATGCAGACATGCCTTTCATTTTATATAACATATATTCAAATATCAATTATTCAAAGAATGAAAAAAAAATTAATTTAACCCATTTCGAAACGGAATCCAACGTAGCATAATATTAGTTCTGTTATTTTATTTAATGAAGTTCGGAACGAGGTCATATTCAACCTTTGTTTTCTGTTTTCATCATTTGTTTAATATTGGTTCTATTGTTACTTACAGAGTTATTGCTGAACATCAATGAGGTATGGAATCAATTCGTAAAAATGCAGGCATGTGGCTTTCAAAATGAATCTCACAAATTTTGGCGAGACTACAAATTTTGAACCGCCATTGAGCGGCCTGGTAACTCTTGGGTATTCACTTCACAGCATCCTGTATTTTGCCGAGGGAAAAATTTTGAAAAAAAATCACGGCTCTTTATTCAAAACCTTTATTTGAACTAATGGTAAGAAGAGCTCTCTAACCCGTTGTCAAATCAATATGGCGGAATAAAGTATCACGAAACTGTTACGAAAAAAGGTGGACTCACTTTAATTAATTATTCCTTTGCGGGATCATTATTCCCACTATGTTTGTTTTATCTTAATTAGCTATGACATGATCGTTAACTGTAATAAAACTAGTCGTAACAGAGGTAATTATATACCTAATTCACCACAAGGTATAAAGATGATCAAAGAAGAGCGAGACAAACAAATTCCAATTAATTTCCGATATGATACTACGAATTAAAGCTCAATCACAAATTAAGTATGATTAGAAATGTTTCCAAACATCCTCTTTCGTCACTGGAATACCTCCTATGTCTTACAGACCATATACTGTGTAGACGTATTGATTTTAACTGTTTTCCTGAATAGATATCTCTTTTACTCCTAAATTTATATTTCGAGATTACAAGAAAAGCCTTAATAACGCAGAAATTCTTGATCTGCTAAGTAAAGCATAACTAACCTAAGTTCTCTTGTCATATGTACAAAAAAAATCAAGAAAATACCAACATGGCAACATAATCATTATTCAAACTCAAATTCCATACAACTAAGGCAAAATAAGAACAAATGAAAAATGTACACGGAGACTCCAGAAAAACTAGAAGGAGAATAAGACCGGGTATTCCGGAAGAGTAGGAGTCTTCTGCTTCATCGACGACACCCGCCATGTAAATCTTGGTCAATCCAAGTAATTAATGTCACGTTCTGAAATGGGAAACGGTATACAACAATGGAACCAACAGGCAACAGAGCATCAAATACGTCAAGCTTCGTGTCGCGCAGAATCTTTCTCAATGAGATCACTATAGTGACCATAGAATTTCCCTATAATTTCATCAACCTACATCTTTTGAAACCTTGTGTCACGAGTTTTTTTCAGTTTTCAGGACTTCTTGCACGGAAATCGTGATAATGGGAACAGGTCATTGAATATCAAATCAACTGTGACATGTAAATATCATAGGCTGGAGATGCAGGGATAATGCTGTACGAAAATGGAATATTAACAAAATAAACAACAACACAATACCGACAAGTAGTAAAATTTAATTCAGACTCTAGATCTATGAAACGAGGATAAACCATGAACTAAAAAACGTTTCCTGGGAGAAAAAAATTACGAAGTTCTTGTATTAGTAATGTCAAGTCCACAACTTAATTAGGATAAGGAACCAGAAGAAATTCTTACGAGGTCTTAACATTTTCAAAGTCATATCCACCAGGAAATATATTATTTCTTAACTAGATTATTATAATGATCACACACCTTTCTCGTCATCTTCATCAACCAGCATGTCTCGAAATTTCTTTCTTGAAAATTTATCATCAGCTATAGACATCTTGTAATAATAATAAAAATGTTATCGGGAATAAACCCTCGAACACGGAATCAGCTGCGACAGGTTATTACCGTGTGTTAGAAAAGCAAGGATGACGTTGTCTAAAAGCAGACAGTCTTAACAAGGAAGTCGAATCATTACGCTAATGACAAAGCTTGGTGGAAAGCTGTCCGTGTTTGTTCCGTTGTAAGGAAAAGAATCAAGACAAACAGCTTACGTAGAAGAGTATGTTGTGTCCTTGGTTTCCGGTTTCAGATGACAGGATTCATAATTTTCCTGTTATTTAAAGACAATACATCATCGGTATATCTAAAAGTGAAACTGAATGACTTATCAAAATCTCCGTGAACTTGATGAACCAAACACAAGTCAACAAAGAAAGGGGCACAGTTTGTCCCCATAGGTATTGTTAATAGCCGGTTAGAAGGTTACTATCAAAACCTTCGAAGACTTTTCAAACTAAAAAGGCGATAGATAATGTTTCACGATTTCGTCCATCGCATGTTTTTTCTTCTTAGACTCCGTAAATTATTCTCCAGCATAGTTTACAACTTTATATATTTGTAACGTCGTTCGCCTTTCTTTAAAAAAGAGGATCTGACAACTAGAGCAAAAATGTTACTTTGGATTGGAATTGGGTACGGTATTGTACAAGATGTTTTGATGTAAGAGATGAGTTTAGAGAAATTCTCATGTAAATAGTATCACAGTAAGACCCTTAATCTGATTTAGTTCTATGAATCATAGTATATGCTTTGATAAACGTTTGGATTGACAGTTTTATAATAATCGATTGACTTGTTTTCAGTTTAATGAGACCAATTAAAATATCACGTTACGTGTCTAAATAACACAAGGTATTTGTCTACACTATCTATAAAGTCAATTTACCGACTCTTTCATTCATTGATAACCTTACTTTTTGTGAGACCAAAAATAATCGACATTAACAGATTTTTCCCTTGTTTTCAGATTACTGAAATTATGTTTTTTAGACGGAGTTTTCAAAGGTAATATATATTCGCTTTCGTTTCTTTACATTTAACCTAGTTTAATGATCAATATTTATTAAGCACAATTTATCATATTCTTCTTTCATCGTTGTAATCTGATTTGCTGATAATTATTGTACACTGACGACAAAATCTTATATTTCCATTCTTCAGCTTGCTGTAGAATACGATTCCAAACTTTTTCAAATACATAATATATCACATCACTTTAATTCGGTTCTCCCGGGAAATATATAATAAAAGTAGATTTAATCATTTTTTCAAAATGTTGATGCCAAATTCGATTATATTTTAATTTGGTCTTGGTTACGGCAATTTCATTACTTCTATTGGTTGTTTATGTTACTATATATACATGTAGCACCTATTCTGACATTGATTGTTCATCAAAACAAACTCATTCTTAATGGTTAAGCACCAGCCTTGTAATTAATTCTTAAATTATCATGTAGTTTGACGTAATGATTGAAGAATATCAGCTTCAAGGGAAAGAAAGGAATGAGATCCAAAAATAAATCCGGTATCTGAATTTTATGGCTTAGTCACATAATCTCGATAATGTTAATATTGAAAAATGGATCGGTAATAGAAATTAGGCCCAGTGCTAAGTGCTGGTGTGTCAGTAATCACCATACATTACAACGCTCCCTATAATACAGTTAATATAAATGGTTGCTTCAATTTGTCATTAATTGGATACCAGTATCGACCGATAGGTATACCGTAGTGACCGTGGAATATTAACAAACCATCGCAGTGAGACTCGTTTTCATGGTAGCTTGACTAAGAGGATAAAATCAGAGGAAAATTATTTACACGTTAAAATTTTCCATGAATAATTTGTTACTATGGAAATATATTGGACAACATCAATATCACAGAAATACCATAAACCTGGCATCTTATTTAATCGTTAGAAATGGAAGACAGCTACTCGTAAAATTGTGGTTATATAGTGTAAGTGAGCATTGTTGAACACTATATAACGAACCTATAAACTTTTTTATGAAAGTGGTGATCACTGGAGAGTTTTCAATCATTGTCTGTACTGACAACTGTAGTCCTGTATGTTAGGTGTTATCCTGAGCAAGGTACAAAACACAACAAATGCAGGAACTCTAAGGAATTCCGTTTTACTTTTTATCTATCTAAGTAATATTACTTACACGATTAGGTATATTACAAACTACGTAGGTGATATCACTCTAATAAAACGATATCGTCTATTCATAATAGTGATATCACGTATTCATTACAGTAATATCACCTATTCATTACAGTTTCATCACCTATTCATTACAGTTTGATCACCTATTCATTACAGTTTGATCACCTATTCACTACAGTAATATCACCTATTCATTACAGTAATATCACCTATTCACTACAGCGATATCGCCTATTCATTATAGTGATATCGCCTATTCATTACAGCGATATCGCCTATTCATTATAGTGATATCACCTATTCATTACAGCGATATCGCTTATTCATTATAGTGATATCGTCTATTCATCATAGTGATATCGCCTATTCATTACAGCGATATCGCTTATTCATTATAGTGATACCGTCTATTCATCATAGTGATATCACCTATTCATTACAGCGATATCACCTATTCATTACAGTGATATCACCTATTCACTACAGTGATATCACCTATTCATTATAGTGATATCGCCTATATCACCTATTCACTACAGCGATATCGCCTACTCATTACAGCGATATCGCCTACTCATTATAGTGATATCGCCTATTCATTACAGCGATATCGCCTATTCATTACAGCGATATCGCCTATTCATTATAGTGATATCACCTATTCATTACAGCGATATCGCTTATTCATTATAGTGATATCGTCTATTCATCATAGTGATATCGCCTATTCATTACAGCGATATCGCTTATTCATTATAGTGATACCGTCTATTCATCATAGTGATATCACCTATTCATTACAGCGATATCACCTATTCACTACAGTGATATCACCTATTCACTACAGTGATATCACCTATTCACTACAGTGATATCACCTATTCATTATAGTGATATCACCTATATCAACTATTCACTACAGCGATATCGCCTACTCATTACAGCGATATCGCCTACTCATTATAGTGATATCGCCTATTCATTATAGTGACATCACCTATTCATTATAGTGACATCAGCTATTCATTACAGTGATATCGCATGATAAATAGGTGGATTCACTATAATGAATAGTGCTACCATCATTTAAAATAAATAGGTAACATCACCATAATGAATTAGTGATATCGCCAAAATGAGTCGCTTATATCATCTTATCATTTTATTGGTATCACTTTAGTGGATTTAAAAGTAAAAAAGGCGCCATATTGAACCGACGCCGAGATTTGCTTAATCAAGAACCGTCTACTCGTGAGAAATATTGAATACTGAAAATATACTGACAGAATAGGAAACTTTTGTCTTAAATATCAAATGAAAAATCAACAGAATATTTCTCTCGTCGATGATTTCAATATCATTCTTTTCAAGAATGCAAAGTTTGTTTAATTGATGAAAACTTGAAAGTTTACTTTCGTTACCCTTCAATGATCAGTGGATTTATTTATTTTTTTATTTTTTTTTTAATTTTCAAACATAGGCAACATATATTAAGAGAACAGTAAAAAGTTATTACGTTCATGGGTCTTATTCCATGCACTGTATCAGAAAATCATTGGTTTTCACGAGAGATTTTTGCTAGTAACATGCCGCGTGCGTTTGAGCAAAAAAATGTCAGTTGTGGCTGTTGACATGCTAAAGGTTGGGATATCTCAAACTAACTCAGCAAGACGGTTTGGAGTGCACAATAATACATATGTTACATTCTATGTGTTGGGAGTTTTCAGCATTTGGAGTACGGCAAGGTAACGTGATAACCTTTCTGTATCTGTTATGTAAATTAAACAAATGAAATACTATTAGCCAAATGTGTTTTATTTATTTTCATATGAAATACATGTAAACATGTATAACTTAAATTTCCATGGTGCTCATCTGACAGATTTGAGATATGGAAGACCAGAGTGAAAAATATTATTATCAACCAATTCGTACCGAAGTCCAGGACACGGGTAAATTTAATGATGATGAACAAAGTGGCACATGGGCCGTTTTGGGGTGGCGTAGACAAACGTCTTAAAAATGAGCTGTGCACAGAATCTATGATGGCAATATTTTGAGAAAATAATTACTCAGTGTTCATGGGAAGTGATATAAATAGCCATGGTACATAATGAATTGTCAATTTAGAAGACTGTATTGGAGTTACTCAGTATCTCCCTACATATTTATATAGGCATTCGTACAAATGTGTGTGCACTTGACTGTATCTTCATTAAAGTGGGATATGAAATAGATTTTGATGTTCTGTATAACCTTGCACACTACAACAATTGTCATTACGGTCATGACTTACACCTTATCACTTCCGTACATCTCTCATATAGGATACTTCTTTAATAATGCTCTCATGATTCGTCATTATTTTATAATGTGTTTTCTTATTGCAGAAAGGGTTATTTAAAGATATGTTGTAAAATGTATAATTCTGTACGCCCCTAATTAAGAAACCATATAACTAATTATTTGTGGTAAGAAATTGTATTTATTTAATTATTCATTTAATGTTACTATACCACCAAACTGTCAATATTTTCATTTCTGTGAAAATCCGCAATACAATTAGCCGATATTTGTTTTATTTATTATTGTTTACCTATTGCTTGTCTTTGTCAGCAAAACGCTTTAACCAACGTAGTTTCGTTTTGTCTCTCTACCAAAGTGATGCGATTTGTGTTGTGAAGATAACACGTTTTCAGTGTGTTTTAGAGTGCTGAAAGACTCAGATCTTGACGTCTTAAAGGTATACTTCATCACTAAATGACTGTCATGTTCGGAAATGTAGCTAAGGTTGTGCCTGACAAACTGAAATAATGGAGTTTTCAAATGTACCAAAAAGTTAAATATATATATATATATATATATATCTGCTCTCTGTGTACGTTATGTATGTACAATTACATTAATATTTGTTTGAAATATTAATTAATCAATATATCATACTTAAACTGAAGTTTAAAAGAAAAAACAACTGTACCTGTCATCACGGATAAGTTATGCTGATCGTCAAGACAGACTTGGCCAAACGATTTACATTTGCAGGGCTCTCGATCTGCCAGATTTGGGGCCGATATTGGGCCCCATTCCCAATGCAAAATAATATCTTTTTTCCCAATTTAGACCCCAAGTTTTCCCAATTCCAAGGAAAACACCATTATTTTTCTAAGGGCTCCAGTCCCAAAATAGGGTGCGAGAGCCTTGATTTGTAAATGTTTAATTTAACCTGAAGCACCCATGATTAGCCCATCGAATGACAAATATTTAAAAAAACATGTACAATATTTAATTTGTTATACACTTATCTGTAATATGCATTAGACTACATTTACATACATGAAAGACGACCCCAAATTTTTTAGCATGATTCGGGTGAACAATGCATGACATTTGGTAATCGTTGTAAAACCAGTCTAGAAATGATGAAATGCAGTACATTGAAAACAGTCAGTAAGATGCTCCAGTATTTTGAGCCAACTAAATATTGAGTTGTTTTTACCCATTTTTCCATGCAAAAGTATAATTTTAATTTCAACCCAAGCTTCTTTGTTTAACTAGACCATTGATCAGCTGTGCTGTCAACATGTCTAAGAATGATATGGATGAAGTTGTGAGACAGGAGCTTTCCCTACCTGACCTGAAGAACTTGGGAGCTGAAGGAGGTGGCTGTATCAATCAGGGCCTGGTGTACATGACAGGACAGGGCACTAAAATTTTTGTCAAAACCAATTCAGATTCTGAGGTAAAAAGTCTCACTGTACAAAAAACATTTAACTATAGAAAAATAGAATCATTGAAAAGAACCTGAAATCGATAAAAAGGAGACAACATCACTTACTCCCCATAGCTTCTTGCTGGAACTATAAGGTTCAGATATATATGCATAATTTCAATCAATCTTGTTGTTTGATTTGGTTTCCAGAGGATATATATATATTTTTTTACTATTAAGGCACGACTGATGTTTGATGGAGAGTTTGCCAGCCTGCAGGCCATACAGGATACAGGAATTATAAGAGTCCCAAAGCCGATAAAGGTATAGAACAACAGTTACTGTGTTACATATAATACTGACTTTATAAAGACTTTTTAAATAATCATATAGTCTAAAGGGTTCAGTTATTTGGCTGGAGTGTTGCAGTGAAATGATGTCATTTTGAAGTGTTAGCATAATGAAATTACTGACAGAATGTTTTCTGTTATACGCATGCACCTGTTTAACTTATAAGTACATTACTTCATTGTAGTTTGCTTGTAGTCTGAATTTGTGCAGTACTAATGTATAAGAGTGTAAAGATTCCTTTATAATTGATTCGTTTGTAATGTATAAAAACATGTACTTTTGTAGTCGCTTAAAATAGAACTTCAGTAACTAATGTGCAGTATCATTCAACTCATTTGAAAATTTAGAATTATCTGCCCTTTGCTAATAGGTGATGGACAATCCAGCAGGAGGAGCAATGTTAGCAATGGAGTACTTGGACCTCAAACGTCTCTCTCGTCATGCTGGCAAATTAGGAGAATCTCTGGCTCAGTATTAAATATAGATTATCTCCCTTAAACCATATTCTACAAGTCATATTCTTATAAGTCCCAGCATTAATCATTAAGATAAAAACTTAAGTTTTAATAATGTATAAATGTAATGAACTGCAGTTAATATTCCTTCATACACATATAGTGGTTGTCTCAAGTCAACATAGTAGTGTTTGAAATTGGTTAAAATCTGAATTTTCTGAAAGAAAATTTTACATAATATGTATTTTGGTTTTTATATTTTCATATATACAATGTGGCTGAAGCTTGTCATTGTTTTCTCCAACGTTTACAGGTATTTTGTCCATGTAAAACTTAATGTATTTTGTTTCAATATCTTTCTATCTTCAGTAGATTAACTTTATTTCAGATGTATTTTATTGTTAAGTTTCCAGCTCAAGCTACTGCAAATACAAGTATAGTGCAATATTGAACTTAAAGGACTGATTGCATTCTATTACTGTACCATGTACTGTAAATGTGGAAATTTGATATCTTAAATTTTCTCTTTGTTAAGACAGACCTAAATGCAAAATGTAGCGTTTTAGGTCTCTGGTTGAGATGATTCATGCTGTCTTTACAGTCTTTTTACTGGAATCTCATCAAGACAGGAGTACCTTTTTATCTCATTAAAGAGAAAAACAGAGAACTTTTCCCACATTAAGTCTTTGATTAATATACAGATATTTTTATATCATTGAGTAACTTTTAAAATAATATTGGTTTATTCATTGGTGTCATATTTTCCAGACTGCATCTTTCAAACTCTAAGGCTGAGAAAGAAGCTGAAATGGCAGAAGGATTTGTAGGGAAGAAATCCCAGTATGTGTCTGAGTTTGGATTCGATTTAACTACTTGTTGCGGTTTTCTCCCTCAGGACAATACGTGGGAGAAGTCCTGGGTGGTAGGTAACTTAGTCAGGCATTCAAAGGTTTTGATATAATATTTCAAAATACGTTCAATATAAGACAGTTGGTGTTTTTTTAATAAGATTTTTACCCAAACTGTTATTTTTATAATTTCTTTTAAATAATTGTTTCATATAATGACTCGTTTTGAATTCCAGACATTTTATGCAAGGAAATTGGATTTCCAGTTAAATAAGATAGAGAAAGAGGTAAGCAGCCTTTTATATAGCAAGTTGAATAACATCTTTGTATGGTCCTACAGATATTTCGCGACAGGTGATAAAATGCAGCCTGATAATTATAAAGCACTGGGTGATTTGAATATTTTATACATAAACACAAATATATCTTGGGCATATTAATTGGTCATTCCACTTGCAATAAAAGTAAAGAAGGAATTCAAGTATCTGTCCTCATTCTGCTTTTGGACAAATCTTACACAAGATTATTAGGTCACCTAACACAAAGTCCCAGGTGACCTATTGTGCCTTCTGTCTATCCTTGTACATTGTAAATAATTTACATTTTGACATCTCCTCAATAAACAGAAGACCAAGTGTTCTGATATTGGGACTGCAGCATGCTGGGATATAGGGCTACCAATTTTGTTCAAGTGCATGGCCTTGACCCACTTTTAAGGTCACAGGTGTCAAATGTTTCAAAATCTTCAAATGACTTTGTTTCTATAATCAAAAGGCATAGAAGTCTGACATTGGGTCTGTAGCATGCAGGGATGAAGGGGCAGCAAGTTTGTTCAAATGATTGACCTGGACACAAGGTCAGGTAACATGGGTCAAATCTTTGAGTATTTGTACCGGTATTCATTTTCAGCAGAAGTTGCAAAACAGGTTGGAATTTCGTTGTCAAAGAGATTCATTTTGAAAATTTCAGTGCAGGGATCTAAGAGTTAAATTTGTTCAAATTTCTGCAATGTCCTTTAAATCCACCCTTGCCACAAACAATACTCTGTAGGCTTTGATTTATATACTAAATGTTGGATAAGGCAGTTTTGTAGGAACAGAACTTCAACTCAGGTGACTGTTAAGACCTATTGGCCTCTTGTTTTCTTTTCAAAAACTGAACACATGATTTTACATCTTGTTATCTGTAATTTTTGTATTCATTTTGATTATTTTGTGTTGAGTTTCACTTTTATGACGTCCAAATTTATCGGGGTGGTTTTGAGATTTATTTACATTTCTAGTTACATTTTGTCTGTACATGTTACAGTTTTGTGAAAAAAAGTACATTATTGCCAATTTACACATACAATATTTACATCAATCAAAAAGTGTTACGTATGAATTTCAGTACAATGATAAGGAAGCTAGAGAACTTTGGTCCACACTACAGCTAAAACTACCAAAATTCTTCCAAGGATTAACTATTAAACCAGCCTTGATGCATGGTGACTTATGGGGTGGAAATGTAGGTGAATTGGAGAGTTGTCCAGGTGGGTAATTCTTAAACATGATTTCTATTTTGCTTTTGGTTTTAATCAATGGCCATGTAAAACTTTTATTATTGGTATTCACATGTACTGTAGACCCCATTTCTATGGGTACTGTCATTTTCACATTTTAATCCTATCTGTTACTTTACCATACCATACAAAAAACATGTTTATATTACCTTCCCTATTACTATATGGTTCTGCCTATCCACTATATTACCAAGCCTGTTACTAAACAGTTCCCACTATCCATTATATCATCATCCACAACATAAATGTGCCTGTTACTATACTGTGCCCTGTGTCCCCTATATTACATCCCTGTTACTATACTGTACCCAGTGTACCCTATATTACCTTCCCTGTTACTATACTGTACCCATTGTCCACTATATTACCTTCCCTGTTACTATACTGAACCCAGTGTCCCCAATATTACCTTCCCTGTTACTATACTGTACCCATTGTCCACTATATTACCTTCCCTGTTACTATACTGTACCCATTGTCCACTATATTACCTTCCCTGTTACTATACTGAACCCAGTGTCCCCAATATTACCTTCCCTGTTACTATACTGTACCCATTGTCCACTATATTACCTTCCCTGTTACTATACTGTACCCATTGTCCACTATATTACCTTCCCTGTTACTATACTGAACCCAGTGTCCCCAATATTACCTTCCCTGTTACTATACTGTACCCATTGTCCACTATATTACCTTCCCTGTTACTATACTGTACCCATTGTCCACTATATTACCTTCCCTGTTACTATACTGAACCCAGTGTCCCCAATATTACCTTCCCTGTTACTATACTGTACCCATTGTCCACTATATTACCTTCCCTGTTACTATACTGTACTCAGTGTCCACTATATTACATCCCCTGTTACTATACTGTGCCCAGTGTCCACTATATTACATCCCCTGATACTATACTGTTCCCTGTGTCCCCTATATTACATCCCTGTTACTATACTGTACCCAGTGTCCCCTATATTACATCCCTGTTACTATACAGTACCCATTGTCCCCTATATTACCTTCCCTGTTACTATACTCTACCCATTGTCCACTATATTACCTTCCCTGTTACTATACTGTACCCAGTGATCACTATATTACCTTCCCTGTTACTATGTTGTACCCAGTTATCACTATATTACCGTCCCTGTTACTATACTGTACCCTGTGTCTCCTGTATTACCTTCCCTGTTACTATATTGTACCCAGTTATAACTATATTACCGTCCCTGTTACTATACTGTACCCTGTGTCTCCTGTATTACCTTCCCTGTTACTATATTGTACCCAGTTATCACTATATTACCGTCCCTGTTACTATACTGTATCCTGTGTCCCCTGTATTACCTTCCCTGTTACTATACTGTACCCAGTGTCCACTATATTACCTTTCCTGTTACTATACTGTACCCAGTGTGCACTATATTACATCCCTGTTACCATAGATTAACTATATATATATATTTTATTGACTAAAACTATTTTTAAAGAATCAATGCTATAATAAGAACTATGGACAATTACGTTTTTTACAGTTGTGTTTGATCCAGCTAGTTTTTATGGACATTCGGAATTTGAACTTGCCATCGCTCAGATGTTTGGTGGATTTAGTGAGCGTTTTTTCCAGTCCTATTTCAAATTACTGCCTAAAGAGCAAGGTTACTCCGAAAGGTTGGAACTCTACAAATTATTCAACTATTTAAACCACTGGTATGTATATTCAACGTTTAGATTAAGCTGGTTACTATGAAAAACAATTAATTATTTCGACGAAGTGCATGTATACATTTAAGATATTGTTCATTAAAAATAACAAGTACCTCAAAGTTGAATATATCATGATTAAATGCTATCTAAATATAAATTTCATTTTTAAAATAACAACGACATTGTTTGGTTAAAGGATTGGGGGGGGGGGCAGAAGTTTAGATGTTTTAGCTGTATACATATTTTACATGTACAAAAACTAACATTGTAGGTACACTTACATCATTTAAACACAAAAAATATTTGCTTAGAATAATACTTTGTAGGAAGTACTTGTCAACTTAATTGTATTTAATGAAAATTGATTAGTGTATTTGATACTATTTCAACAATTGATTATTAACAATTGTCGCAAAGGACTATTCCAGCAAAACATCTACTCGACTTCAGTAAGTACTTAGTACAGAATAAATGCCTGTTATTACATACTATGGCTGGTACTTGTTAATAAACGAAGATTGCAAGATCTGATCTCTGAAATGAATATTTAATGTACTAGGCTTAACTGGAGGGGCTACAATGGTACATGTATTTTATTGTCAGCCTACTTTGCCTCAGGTGAAGATCCAAGATCCACGGTTCAATACTCCCTACCTGTGTCAGGTTTTGTCTCTCAGGTAGCTGAGAGACAAACCATTCTCTGTTGATGTGATTGTTTCATTGGGCAATACACTTTCGTTTATTTCTCTGGGTAAAATGTTCTGAACCTCCCATATATTTAGGGTGGAAACGACCAGACACTACAAGGAGACCCCACCTTAAAACGACCATGCCAGCAAACAAAATCAGCAAAATTTTGTCAAACATTTATTTATGTATATAGTGATGCTTCCTCATATGATAAACTACCAAATTGTTAATTACAGGAATCACTTTGGAACTGGCTATAGAGGATCAAGTATTGCAATTATGAAGAAGCTCGCTCAGTGAAACGATCGATAAAATGTATTGGATTTTAAAACTATTACTGCGCTGTAGTCACCTACAGTAACATATGCTTGATAAATTTACCTGCGATCTTGATGTAGAGGATAATCTATAACAAAAAGAAAAGAACTTCAATTAAGATCAATCACGCGGAGGAAAACGTAAATTAATTAGTGTGAATGAAAGTTATATTGTACATAGAATATCAATGATACTACGAGGAAGGCCTAATGAAGAAGGAAAGCTACTACTGATGAGCTGAAACAGGAAATAATGACGTCATTGCATAGACAGGATAGACGTCATGGCAGTGTGGATTTCTTTTAGAGTGATTAAGAATACAAACTGCCGTTACCTGTATTAACGTTAAATTTGTTCAGTGTGTCATTTTCGATGTTTTCCTTTATGAAGCAAGTCTTAAACTGTCGTTTCTCTCAAAAAATCTATATATTCGTCCTAATTTCTTCACTCACACTGAATCACGTCTGACATTTAGTGAATTACAAGAAGGCTTACACGAACATATAACAGGCTCCCATCTAGAAACACACTTAACACAAGCACTTATCTCGCTGATAAAAATACAGTATTTATGTCTTATATATATACATGCATACCCTTTTTTCACCGCCGACCTTATTATGTAGGGAATCCGTCCTAAATAACGAAAACTGATGAAAGAATCTTAAACACTATACAACAAAATGAAAACAAAACCTTTAACGTAAGTAAAATGTATCAATTGTTGTCCACGACGAAGTCACTATCTTTCTGTTACTTTTATGTTGCAAAATAAATCTACACACGGCTAGTGTTCTCAACGAATGTCACAACATACATAGCATTATCGTTGTATATGAAATGTTACATATAATGTATTCCTTTTGAGTTACTGTCGGTATTACATTAGACAGTGTTGTTGGGTCATGTTATGTTTCAAGTATTTTATCTTTGTTGCAGGTTGAATTAACATGTTATTTTACAATGATTGCTGTATCTTGGTTGATAATTAATGTACATAATGGAGTCTCACCTGTATTATATATGTTGACTTTGCTGAATAATTGCATGATTTTGTTTCATTTGTTGACAATTCCGCTGCAGTTACATCAGTAAAAATGCATTAATGTGATGTGAATTTTCTTTTGATAACTGTTAATGTCATTTTGTGCATAGCAATAATATGTGCATCGTTTTATATCTGTCTTTGAAATTTGTATGTACGCGTATTGAAAATACTCTGTTAAATGTGATTATCTAATTACTTTGGTAGTATTTTGTCACAACTTGGACAAATCTCGGCATAACACTATTTCTGACCCTTTTTGCTGGTTGTTTGATGCCGGTTAAGGTGTCACCAAGTATTCCTGTTGCGGCAAAGTTATCATATGATATACTATATTCATACATGTATGTTTTTATCATATCGCTGTAATCAGAATCATTGTTCATTTCATTTTCATGGGTTTTTTTTTTAAATAACTGATTTGTTAAAGCTTTGATATAAACAGCATTTGTTTCATGTGTGACAAAGGATAAACACTGTACTCTCGTCCTTGTGCATTTGGATTCATTTGGATGACTAAGAAGAGTACATTTCTAAAGTTTTTGAGTAATGGTCGCTAATAATGTGTAGTTGGTTAATATTAGTGTTATCGATTTAAGTTTTTATTTATTTGCATTTAGCGTACTGGTTCGGCATTATATTATTTGTTTGATCTTATTAAGGTATATGTTTTTTTTTTTTTTTTAAACCCAATGTGTTCAGTATACATTACGTATAAAATGTTTAGAATTTATAAATGCTAAGCCTGGTTTGTTTCCGTTTGTAAATTTTCTTCTATTTGACTATTTGTTTTTTCAATAGATGATAGTGCACAGTTGTGTGTCCATTGTTAAATTCTTTTAAAAGAAATGAAATAAATTTTGTTTCTGTATGTTCATAGTTAATTGTTTTAACTTATTTCAAACTAAACACAAAATAGTGTCTCTATTTTGCTCCTATAATAATTTTCAGTACTGCTTAAATGTCTTTTAAGCTAAGCTTGTTTACACGTCGCAGCATACTCGATTTGGTATATTAAAAGCAACTAAATGATATGAGTAGCTAAGGTTTTCAGCTGGACTCATTACGCACTGTGATTTTTGTCCAATATAATAAATGTCGGAGTGGATTTGAACGTAGAACATTTTGGTAGGACATGAAATTTGTTTGATTTTAGGCTTTACTGCATAGTATATTCCCCTTTTTACTTTTATTAATCGGGCGACTTCCAGAATACAAACAACGTGATGTAAACCATTGGTCAGAATATTTATTTCCAACATGTTGATCGGATACATTACGGCGGGTTGTCGCTAGTAATAATAATAAATAATGATAATAAACATTCTTTATTGAGGATAAAACATGTTTAGCCAAAGACTAATCTACCACATGGTCCTCTAGTTGTGTAATTACTTTTGCCTCGATCGTTTTAGGGAATACTTGCTGTTTTCGTCTTGTTTAAGTAATTTTTCAGCGAATTTTATATAATTGCTTTAAACAATGTTTTCAATGTACGATACAGAGCTACAAAAACTGTACACGGGATTGTTTTCTCATTCGCTCATTTTCCCTTTTGTCAAAATCACGAGAACATTTATTCAGATTTGAAGTTGAAAACGATATACAGGCGCTGTATTGTAAGAGGATTTAAAGTTGTCCATGTTGAAAATGAGCGAGGATGGAAAACTCCTGGGCGAGTGTTGACGTAAATCTTGACATTATTGAATCCCCTCTAACATAAACAATTTTGTGCATTGCTATTAAATGTTTAATACATGCTATGACAATAGAAAATTATCAGCAAATAATGACAAGGAATATAGCGAAATTGAATTCTCGCGAATATTTATATCTTTACAGTATCTTTCATGGCTGAATATAATAGGCTGCCTGTTTTCAAATAACGTACAGTTAGTCAGGCATAAAATATAGCACGAATAAACATGAGCAGTCATCCATGAAATGTTTTAGATACACCAAAGTGACAGCCGTTTTTAGATCAGATCGCAACATCAGGTACACATGTATGTATTCATGAGTTAGGCACACAGGTAAACAACATTTTACTTATACATGTATCGTATTGCATAGAAAAATATTTTGAAGGACTTCTTAATGCATGAAAGTTCAACTGGATATCAAGATGGAGGACAACGAATTAGAGGATCTATTGAAAGAAAGACTCAATTTAAACAATATAGCATTTGTTGAGAATAGAAATGGATATATTAGCGAAGGAAAGGTGTTTCAAACGGAAGATGGAAGCAGAATCTTTGTCAAGGTAAACCGGAAGCAAGGGGTAAGTATATATTATGTAGTCCTTTCAATCTGTTCATATAGTGTTAGCAATGGTTTACAACTGACAAGTGTTCGACCATAGCGGATTTTATTAATATATTGTTTCATAGTTACACAACTGCACTTTGCGCACCTTTAAACATCATTCCAACGTCAATCTTCAAGCAGTGATTGAATAATACTTTACTCCATCATCTTGACCTGTTAATAAAAGCACTGATCAATATGATTGTAGGACTTTAGTTTGATGGTAATGCTGACCGAAATCAAATATCCACAAGGCTGGGAAGCCCAGGGATAACGGTGGATCCCAAACGCTCTGATCACTTTTCTTCTACCTGCAGAATCTTTGATTGGTTTGTACATCTACCGTTTATCAAGGTCTAGAAAGGACGTATTTGGAGATAAAATACAGCAGTGAACGTTGGGTTTTTTTAAGCAATGAATGGATAAAAAAGTAACTCCCTTTGCATATACTTAAACAGATGTTTACAAATCCACTGGGCTTATTGAGTAAATAACCGTCGATTAGAGATATGGTCACCAAAGGTTTATAGTAACTGGTCTGTTGTTACCTGTTCCTGAAGTGATTTAAGTCACAAGGTCAATAACCTCATTCGGTTATTGATATGGTACAGGTCCGTTTGTAGTAAATGGTTTGCTAGAGAACTTTCTAAAGTAACTGATTGGCAAGGATACTGTCCATAGTAACTGATTCGGTAAAGAACATTTGTGGTCACAGACTTTCTAAGAACCAGCGGTAACTGATTTTGTAGAGAGAAATCTTTAATAACCGCTTTGGTAGGGAGCCTTCTATAGTAAATATTTACGTAGAAAGTGTTATGTGTTAAGTAATTTGATAGAGAGCATCTTTAGAGAACATTTGTAGTAAGTACTGAGGTATATGATATGGTAGAGAGACTTCTGTGGTAACTGATCTGGTAGAAAACCTGTATTACATAATCTGCTAGAGGACCTCCTGTGTTAGGTAACCTGGTAGAGAACCTCCTGTGTTTGGTAGGCTGGTAGAGAGCCTCCTGTGTTAGGTAGGCTGGTAGTGAACCTCCTGTGTTAGGTAGGCTGGTAGAGAGCCTCCTGTGTTAGGTAGGCTGGTAGAGAGCCTCCTGTGTTGGGTAGGCTGGTAGAGAGCCTCTTGTGTTGGGTAGGCTGGTAGCGAGCCTCTTGTGTTAGGAAAGGCTGGTAAAGAACCTCCTGTGTAAGGCAACATGGTAGAGAACCTCCTGTGTTAGGTAACCTGGTAGAGAACATCCTGTGTTAGGCAACCTGGTAGAGAACCTCCTGTGTTAGGCAACCTGGTAGAGAACCTCCTTGTGTTAGGTAGGCTGGTAGAGAACATCCTGTGTTAGGTAGGCTGGCAGAGAACCTCCAGTATTAGGTAGGCTGGTAGAGAGCCTCTTGTGTTAGGTAGGCTGGTAGAGAACCTCCTGTGTTAGGCTACCTGGTAGAGAGCCTCTTGTGTTAGGTAGGCTGGTAGAGAGCCTCCTGTGTTAGGTAGGCTGGTAGAGAGCCTCCTGTGTTAGGTAGGCTGGTAGAGAGCCTCCTGTGTTAGGTAGGCTGGTAGAGAGCCTCTTGTGTTGAACCTCCTGGTAGGCTGGTAGAGAGCCTCTTGTGTTAGGAAAGGCTGGTAAAGAACCTCCTGTGTACGGCAACATGGTAGAGAACCTCCTGTGTTAGGTAACCTGGTAGAGAACATCCTGTGTTAGGCAACCTGGTAGAGAACCTCCTGTGTTAGGCAACCTGGTAGAGAACCTCCTGTGTTAGGCAACCTGGTAGAGAACCTCCTTGTGTTAGGTAGGCTGGTAGAGAACCTCCTGTGTTATGTAGGCTGGCAGAGAACCTCCTGTGTTAGGTAGGCTTGCAGAGAACCTCCAGTATTAGGTAGGCTGGTAGAGAGCCTCTTGTGTTAGGTAGGCTGGTAGAGAACCTCCTGTGTTAGGCTACCTGGTAGAGAGCCTCTTGTGCTAGGTAGGCTGGTAGAGAGCCTCCTGTGTTAGGTAGGCTGGTAGAGAGCCTCTTGTGTTGGGTAGGCTGGTAGTGAGCCTCTTGTGTTAGGAAAGGCTGGTAAAGAACCTCCTGTGTAAGGCAACATGGTAGAGAACCTCCTGTGTTAGGTAACCTGGTAGAGAGCATCCTGTGTTAGGCAACCTGGTAGAGAACCTCCTGTGTTAGGCAACCTGGTAGAGAACCTCCTGTGTTAGGCAACCTGGTAGAGAACCTCCTGTGTTGTACCTGGTAGAGAACCTCCTGTGTTAGGCTGGCAGAGAACCTGCTGGTAGAGGGCCTCCTGTGTTAGGTAGGCTGGTAGAGAGCCTCCTGTGTTAGGTAGGCTGGTAGAGAGCCTCCTGTGTTAGGTAGGCTGGTAGAGAGCCTCCTGTGTTAGGTAGGCTGGTAGAGAGCCTCCTGTGTTAGGTAGGCTGGTAGAGAGCCTCCTGTGTTAGGTAAGCCTCCTGTGTTAGGTAGGCTGGTAGAGAGCCTCCTGTGTTAGGCAGGCTGGTAGAGAGCCTCCTGTGTTAGGTAGGCTGGTAGAGAGCCTCCTGTGTTAGGTAGGCTGGTAGAGAACCTCCTGTAGCAAATTACTTGACAAAGAATCTTCTGTATTAAATGATTGGACAAAAACAAAAATCTGTTGTAAGTGATTTCGTAGAGAAACTGCTAGCTGATTTGATAGGGAATCATCTGTGGTAGAGAACTTACCGTAATAATTGCCTATGTAAAGAACATTCTGTAGTAACAGATTTGGTCTGTGGTTACTGATATGATAGAGAATAGTCTTTGATAACAATTTGGCGGAGAACATTCCTTTTATAACTGATTTGATAAAGAACCTTCTCTGTCAACTGATTTGCTAGAGAATCGTCTGTAATAACTGAGTTGGTAGGGATCTTTCTGTAGTAACTTACTTGATAGAGAACCCATTAATTGGAATACATTTCATTTCAGGCACGACTAATGTTCGAAGGAGAAGTTGCTAGTTTGGAAGCACTGAAAAACACAAATGAAATTCGAGTGCCGAACCCAATTAAAGTAAATACATTCACACAAAAACACAAATCCTTTATTTCTCACTGAAGTCTGTTACCGGTGAAAACTGGCAGTTGCTATGTATATGATATTATTTACCGTTGCGCTGCTACTGTGTAGTCTTAAGAAAGCAGTGTTTATTGCTGGATCTTGAAATACATAACTGCAGGTAATGTAAACCAATTTATATAATAGTGAATTATATTGAAAATGATAATGTAAGCATCAAATTGCTTTCCTTGAGCATTCCTGGACATCATAAGTGTTAACTGGAAACCGCAAATTCAGTATTCAGCATTTATCCATTTGGCATTCGCACATTCAAAAATATATTACTATGTTTTGTAAAACAATCAATTACCCCTTTTCTAATTATGATTTTTTTCTTGTCAGATCATGAACATTCCGACTGGAGGTTCTGCACTAGTTATGGAGTTTCTTGACATCACTGAGCTTTCGAACCAGCAGGCAGCTCTTGGAGAGAAATTAGCACGGTAAGGTTCCTATGTACTGGGAACGGTACATTTTGCCAATAAAGATTGACAACACACAAGCTGTTCTCAGTGAATTGTAAAAGATCAAAGAAATACTAGACAAATCGTTCGTATGATATGTACGTGACATCTGTCTAAAAGAACTCACATAAGTTTTCACGTGATATACTATTGTTATCTGAAAGTTTGTAAAGTTTTTTATTCATTTATTTGTTGATGCCATTATAAACGATGCGAAACAAATGAGTAATTGAGACAGGATAATTATATGAATGATGAATCATATTTAACACACCATGGACGTGTATTTAATACACTCATCTCATTCTATTTAAAAAAAACCAGTCATATTATGTGATATCCCTAAAATATTACTATCGACACTGAGAGCAAATATATTGATCTTTTCTTGCGCGGTGCCTTAATGATCAACTTAAATTTCTGATGTCTTAGGTATTCACTCTGTACATAATATTTTTACCACAAAACAAATACGTGAATGATCATTTTTCATAACAAAATGTCGTCCAATACTGGGTTGTAATTAATATCATGTAACTCCAAGACGATAATGAATATTGAAATATTTCAAATTTCCCATTATCAACATTTTGTAAGAAACATCTCACTTATGCGTAAATCAGACGTTGAATGTTAAAGGATCATTTCTAATCCGCGCGAGCTAGCTTATGATTTTACTGTAATGATTTTGATTTTTCGGGATAGACAAGTTTCATAAATCTCAAATAAAATCGACACAAATTAAACATAGAGACCATTCCACACTTAGAATGAAAAAAATTGATAGTTTAAATGTCGATATAGTTACAAGTCGAAACAACAAAATGTATACATCTGTGCTGATTTTGTGATAGAATAGCCAGTCACAAGTGGGATTGAAGTTGTGTCTATCAAACTATTACTTCACATGTGTTACAATCATAATACTTTCAAGTGGAAAATTTTGTAATATTATTATAACTTCTGAATCACAATCAAATTATTGATCTGTAGGTTACACCTGCACAATGACAGATTACGACGTCGGGCCAAGGCAACCGAATGTACAGTAGGGGAATACGAACGAAGTCCGATAGCCGTAGAGAAGTTTGGATTCGACATGGCAACCTGTGTCGGCTTTCTGCCTCAACCTGTTTCTTGGTCGGAAAACTGGACGGTAAAACATGATAACAGATTTATCTTTTTGTATACAATTAGTATTTATTTTTCAGACCATCCAAACCTAACGAGAAGTTGCCAATACATTTAAGACACTTCAAGATGAATTAACTTATCAACGTAAGCGTAACAAAACCTGAAGCTCAATCAATTTATCGTATTTAAAGCTTCATTGATATGACAATTGTCCTTAAACTTCTGAAGACAAAAAGATCTTACGATGTTATGTAGTTTCCTCTGATATAACAAGTTAAGAAAAGAAACGAATTCTCGTAACAACGTAGCAAATGCCCTATTTTGAAGACAGCTTCATCATCATGAGAACAATTAGAATATGAGCATATGTATCTGCTAAAGCGGTATTATATGTATGTATCGGTTTTATCTGCCACTGATCAAAATTGATTGTACATTAATCAACATCCCGGTTGATATAATAAGCTGATATATCTGTAACATTCCTTGCTGCTTCGAATTTAGAAAGAAGATCTTGGAAGAATGTGGATATTGCTACTCCCGATGTAGATTTCTTTCGATCACTGACGAAACCTAGAAGGACCGAAAAGCTGTATGATAGAGTGTGATTCACTACGTGTATTTTGATCTATTTTATTCAATTCTTAATATGTTTTCAAAGGTGATCTTCATTTTTCCGTGTATTGTACAATTTTCCTTTGACCATATACAATGTTTAAATTTTTGTTAGCTCGAAAGTCAATACGGTAGTTGAAGAAAGTAAATCAAAATTGCATTCATTATATCTACCCTTGATTACATAAAGATAGATGTAGTAACGAACCAGTGCGAAGTGATTAAATAGGTCAGACAACGCTATGAAGTAATTGAAAAACGTGCATCCTTATTTCTATATACAGTGAGATATCGCTTAAAATCCGGTTCATAATTGAGACCACCTCGCTTTTACGACTATTTAATTTCAACCCTAAAACATGTATATGTCTTTGTATCGTTAGCTTATCAGTTAAGATCACTGCACTATTTAGAGCATCTTAGACCAATTTTGGGTGTAATCAGAGCATTAACCAGTCATAAATTCTCCCATAAGTTACATACTACGTATTCTACTGTCAAATTTACAACTCGGTCAATATTACATAATGTTTAATGCTATAAAACTAACATACCGATTTTCGTGAATGTGGAAAATATGGACAAAATTTGTCGAAAGGGAAGTCTATTTGGTCATACTCATTCTTGAGACCACCTCGCTATTAAGACCAACTTTTGTACGATCCCAAATGTGGTCTTAATAGCAAGGATTCACAATATTCATTTACATATATTTCCTACACTCGTTTAGCTAACCATTGTATTATAAAATCTTTGTTCCAGACCTACTTTTCCAATTTACTGGACTATCGGATTGGATTAATTGAAAAGCAAGCTTCATCGCCTGTTGATACAGTAAGCTCAATGATTTGAAATATTATATTCATTTTAATAAAAGATTTATATGAAATACATCTGTAATTCAATTGTTTTCAATTTTGTAGATACTCTTCTGAGCATAGAGTAATTAGTAAAATAGAGAGAAAATTGTGGAAGTTTAATTTTGGAACTGATACATCTCTACATACAGATTTATTTATCCTTTGTTTTCTTGTTATTGATATTATGTACTCTCGATCGCCTCCTTGGTTTCAAAGTTTAGGACTTTTATATCACTGACGAGACAGAAAAAGGAAACAGCTATATGATACAGCGTTTGATCAACAATGTGTTTCTGCTGTATCTGATTCTAAGTATTGAAAAAGATTATCAACTTTCATGTTTTTGTACAACCATTGTAAAGTCCGATATAGGTACATATAACGTAGTATTAGTATGGCTCCTTTTGTGTATAATATTAGATAATTCTTAACTTCCATACGCTAGCTGCTGATACCTCTTTATTGATACATGTATTGGACCCTGAAAATTAATACAACTAACTGTTATTACATGATCACCAATTTAACTACCACTGCAACACAATATAATGACATATCTAAATCATTGCAGCTACAATATAGAATATTGAACATTTTTCTGGTTGCTTCCCTTATATCACGCAAGTTTTCTACATGTTCTTATGGTAATAAATGTAGTTTATTTTAGCGATGAACAATACATGTAAGTCAGTTATTATATAAAAACGTTTCCGTAACATATATCTTTACATAACCGTAAATCGCTTTTTATTACTTACGTCAACATTGCGTCTTCTGAAACTATATGATATGGCCGCTAACAGATGCTGTAACCCTGCAATAAAATGCCTTAGAAAAAATGACTTTCTTCAGAAGGCTTACCCAAGTTAACATTTGTTAAACAAATAGATGTTTGCATTCAAAATATCATGTTACGGGTGACTGAAGACAGAAAATTCCATCTGTTTCGTTACGCTGTAACTGCATCAGATAGGGACATGTAGACTTTTTCTATTCATCCCACAGAGTTTCTGCTGACGTGTTAAGCACTTTATTAGTAGTTGTTTCATAAGGGTATTTTTATTTGGCTAGTTTTGGTTCCTGTTGGTAAACTAGCTTACTTTGTATTGATTAGGAGTATTCTTTTCCTTTTCCAGGTAAATGCACACAAAATGCGCGAACTATGGACAGAGATTCTGCTTCTTTTGCCCGGACACTTTCGGAATATCGACATCAAACCTTCTTTACTACATGGTGACCTCCATGTTTTCAACTCTGGGGAAACCAAACATGATGGACCAGGTTAGTCTGACTTTGAAGCAGATAAGATACATTTTACAAACACAAGATACTGGCAATACCCGCGTATAATCACGGGACATAATTCCGGTCTTAATGCTATTTGTTGATTTGTTTGTTGTGGTTTTATGTCGCTCAAACTAAGGTCAAATGTGAACTATAACCTCAGGACGATGAAGCAATGCCGTGTACGCCTCTGATTAGAATCGAAAAAGATATTTGCTTACATGACTACTAAACAACCATGTAATTGAATCTTCTCGCTAAGTGATAGGTAAAGACCTATATGCCAGTAACTTCTGAATGACACAGTTGAGTGACCTCAAAACATCTCGTGGTGAGGCAACACATATATCCAACTGAATAAGTAACTCGCTTTATTGCTCGCTTCATTATGGAAATGCAACAGACAATGTTTAAGTGGTGAAAAGCTATGAAATTATAATATATATTATAAAAAATGTTTTTTAAACTTGGTATTAGTAACATTTGTATATCTTTTCATTATAACGCTTTAAACTGAATATCTATAAAATTCACGTTAACATCTTACATCACAACTGGATCAAATTTACAAAAAATAATAATAATAAACATCGTGTGTCACAGGCTAAAACCTGATCACATTTCAGAATAAGATTATGTATTACAGACTGCAAACTCATCAAACTCAGGATAAAACCGTGTATTACAGACTGCAAACTGCTAAAGTATTATTAAATTTCAGAATAACATTATGTATTGCAGACTGCAAACTGACCATACTCAAGATAACATCATGTATTACAGACTGGAAACTTATCAAATTCAGAATAACATCGTGTATTACAGATTGAAAACTGAACAAATTTAAAAAATCACGTGTTCTAGTCAAAACATTGATCAAATACTCTACAATATCGTATATTTGACATTAAATCTGCTTTCAGTAATATTCGATCCAGCTTCCTTTTATGGTCATTCAGAGATTGATCTTTCCGTGGGATTTGTTTATCCTGGATTCAACCAGCAGTTCTATGATGCTTACTTTAAGTTAATACCCAAGGCACCCGGATTTGAAGGCAGACTGGACCTCTATATGTTAAATCAGATATTGAACTATTGGTATGTACAAAATATCTACAATTATTAGTATTTTTTAATCTTAATACGGATCTACCAGTGATATTTTTATCAGTTACCTGTTACCTGCACTGTTTTAGGCTAAATAACGATTTTCATACACGTTTAATTTTACATATTCTTGTATCTATTTAGTTTTAATATATCATGTAAATCAGTCTTAAAGGTTTGAAATATTGGTTTTAAAATCATTTTATGATACTTCAATAATAGTAATGAAATCAGCATCGTTTTCGTTATCTTTTAAGACTGACGTCATATTTAATACATGTATTATGTATCTGTGTTATATGTCTTGTAGGAATCATTTCGGTCCTAAACAGTGCCGCCAACGAACTATTGATTTGATGAAGAAAATTACAGACACTAAACCACAATGATAGTGAACGAGGTTTTCAAACACCAACGTTAAAAACCTGACCTGTCATGAATATGAAAGTTGACAAATATTGATTATTTTATTATTTAATGGGGGAGGGGGGAATTAATCAATATTTGTAAACACAGTGGAAGGTAATATATTGTAGTCATGGCTACCTGTATGTATAATATTTTTTTTAAATGCAAGTTACATTATGTTTGGCTAAAATGTCATTTTTTAAAAAAAAATGTTATGTTTCTAAAGTGATATCGTATTGTGTATTCAGTTTTGTGACTCCATTCGGCAGTCTCGTATGTGATTGATTATTTGGTTTTAATTATTTATCACGTGTTATGTATTTGATTTCACTGCATACAATATAGATGTGATTTTTATACAGAGTATTGATTAACTCTCCCTCGGGCAGAATTTCATAGTTGTTAAATTCTGAGAAGTTAAACTCCACAGACACTTTTTATATCAGTACTATATTCTAATACGATGATAAAATGATGTAGTTAAAACACTTCCACCAAAACATTCCTTGCGCAATAAGAAAGTGATGCACTGATGTCTTTTAAGCAATAGAATATATGCATTTGAGAACAAATACCAACAGAGTGACAACATCAGTGCCCTTTTTCTCTTGCTATTCCAAGCCGAGGAGAGCTAATAGCAAATATGTCACAGAAGACCTGCGGAAATAGTATTTAACACAAAACACGGGGCAAATGATAATGTTAATTTAGCCACACCATAAAAATATAAAATACCATCTTTCTCGTGGTCGTTATCTTCTACTTCGCATGTAGAATTGCGCCAAGCAGTATGTATTGTAGTAATACGTCCATGTATTCCTGTCTGCATGAGAACATTGTATACCACAGGGGGCTTGGTTGTGGAATTTCGAGTAAGTATGACATCAGTTAATAAACACATCCGCACAAATTCAGTCATTATACACATTTGAAACCGTATGAGAATTTGGGGAATTGATACATTAAAAAACTCTTTTAACTTTTTGAGAATTTTGGATATTGATAAAATCGATACCCCAAGGTTTCAGAGTGTGTATAAACACTGGATTTATGTGTTGTGATTATTAACTGATGTCATGAAAATCCTGAAACCGAACCCCTGTGACCATGACCATCTCTTTGAAACACCATTAAGCTGAAACTTAGTAGAAATGTTTAGTAACTTATGTCACTTTTTTGGAAACGAAAAAATCTTACTATGACCAAAAACTTATCCCAACATACAATTGGAATTCTGAACCGGTTTCAATAGGCACTATCCCATACTTGTTCGCAATACCCTCACTACAATCCCAATGCTCAAGTCTCTAAGTCCCATGTTAAGGCCCATTGGAACACCTTGCCTTTATTTCTGTCCCCTATACAAGCCATTTCATGACTATGACCTGAAACGACTCTAAATTTAAGAAGCACGTTTTAGTATAAATTTGATAATATTTACATTATATGTTAAATAACGAATCATACTGCGTCCATCTTCCAGGAATCCTCAGTGATGGTGGCGAAAAAAGTAGGACAATCTAGAATAAGGAAAGAAAAAATAGGCATGTTTACAAACATGTACAATGTGCATATGTAATGCGAGGAAAATTAGATCAACCCTTGCACCTGTTCTCTTCGTCCATAAAAATTGAACCCGGTTGTATGTAGGTGTACAAAATATATAAGAACAGAATGATATGTAAACCACAGGTTAATAAACAACGGACTGAAGAATACTGAAATTTAACCAGCTGTTTATTACCTTGTTTACGTCTTAAAGAAAATCTAGGCAAAACTCGTTTGAACCGGATCTTTAAATATTGCGTGAGATACATCAAGCTACTTTCAATGGACCCGGTGTAGAATGTAATTTATTTCACCCCGACGTGGCACTCTAGGTAAGCTTTATCAAAATTAAGTAAGCCAGATTACAACCAATACAGGAACTGCGTACCATCAGTAGCTTGTCATGATTTATCATCCAATCAGATCTAACACGGTGCGGTATGTGATGACGTGTCAATTGCGGTTCCGCAATATCACGTGACCTCAGCCCGGGGACATGTGCGGGTTTTTACAACATTACACCTAAGGCTGAAGCATAACATTTCTAATTAAACAGAAATGGATTTTAACATATATGTTAGGCTTCACAAAGGCATATCGTGAACAGTAATATCGCATGACAATTGTGGTTTGACACATAATTTTCCTGGGTCTAAATGCATAAACTATCATTCAAAAAACAGTGTTTGAATGATTTAATAAAACTACACAGCTGTCATGTCATGCAATTTCATACGAGACACTTGATGCAAAGGATGTGGTGACAATGAAACCAATTCTATCTCAATTCAAGATATACTGTTTCAAATCTGAAGATACTGCACGTGATATGAGTAGTGAAGTTTACGTTTGAAGACCTAGTTTACCTATATAAATGCCCTACAGCTGCATGCCGGTTCGATCAATAATTCGATTCAAATATATTTTATTGCCATAACCATCAGCAACAGGATTGGGCACAAGTTATTGCGACGTTATTTAAGCTTTCTCCCAAAACAAACAACATTTACAACAAAGAGGCTTAAAATATATTACTAGATTAAATGAAATGTGTACATTTCTAAATATTAAATAAATGTTTACAGGCAGATTTTCATGTCCAGAAAGAAGTAAATCTGAATTCAATACCAAAGCTAAATTAAGGAAGTGTCGGTAACTATAAGGAACGTGTCTAATGTAGATCAGTATTTGTTAATTTGCAGCTTTAAGACATGCGTAATAAAAATATAGTTGCCATTTTTAATTTTTTCTTGTTATTTTTTTCCATGTATACTATTTTACAGTACAAAGCATTACAAGTTTGAGATCCGTATTGCTACCGGGAGTGTAGCTAGTATATGCCTTGAAACACTTACAGATGTATATCAGTGTTTGGCTGGCATTAATATCGTAAGAAAAATTAGAAGCATTAATTATAAAGTCTATTTTTATACCTTTTTTGAAACAAGTTACGTATATCCTAATTGCTGTTGTCCTGGTTAGGCATTACCATGTTTAGTACTTCTCAAGCGTTTTACTGAAAGCGTTTGTAAGTATAGAAGTTATTTGACTGGCGGAAGATTTGGTCCTTTATGTTATTTTGAGGACACAGTTATTATCTAGCGTAGAAAACATTCGAATACAGACTGTTAATGGTATTGGCTATTACTTGATATCTGTCTCTAGAAAACACTGCAGGACAAGCCTGGTTATCTTAACTTGGCCTTTACACGAGTTTTCCTAAGTTTATACAATAACAAATCTGTTTACTCGGTAGTGAGAATAGATAACGATGGTCGTATTCGATGTTGGACTTAATAAGAGATAAAACCCAAACTGGATAGCTTAAACCATTGAACGATGTTCCTCCAATTTACCAAATACAATTATATAAACTAGCAAAGATAATATGATTTTTATACTGCATCAATGTCTTTTTGCAATAAAAATGTCTATGACCAGAACAAAATCTGTTCATATTATTGACCTTGACCCAAGGTCAATAATACTTCATAATTATAATTATTCTTAAAGTTCTAGAATAAACCAGTATTCTAATCTGAATCATAAACCTCTAGAATCGTAATATTATTGTTGTGTTGCAACCAGGAAATTTGTAAGATTCGATAAGTCAGAGATGAGTCAAAGATCTACATTTTGGAAGGATCCTTTTCGAAGTTATTGATCCTCTTTTCGTCTCGCTAAGGTTGTGTATAACAATAGTAGAAATATATGACATTGAATTATGTCCTACTTCAGGCAAACATCAAATGAGTACATCCTTATATCCTACCCTGAAAGGAAGAAATATTGAAAATTTCACAAAATATTTTGGATTGAAAGTAGGTTTTTTATTTCTCTGATGGACAATGAGGTGACAGAGGATGACTTAAAAAGTATATCACAGCAAGATACAAAACAAATCTCATCCCTATAAGTCAGGTACATCATACATAAACCTATTCCTGTGCACAAAGAGCTTGGTCCATCTTGGACCATATAATCCAGAAAACAAGACTTGCTACACCATCATATAAAATCTGGAAATATTTCTGAATTATCTGGACAAAGTTGGAAACTCTCTTACAGTAAAGACACATAATAACTGAAAATATTGGCTAAGTTTCACAGTCTTAGAAGACTAGAATTCTAAAATTTGTTCATTCACACGTGACATCAAATACATTTTCTCAGACTTTCTAATGTTTAGTTACAGTTTCAATCTAATCTGTAAATAAAAACCCAATTCTGAAATTTCCCAGTGATATACACGTTTTTTCTCAAAATAATTTTTCATTGGTTTATAAACAGGTCTTGAACTGTAAGTACAATTATCTTCTCTGCTTACAAACTTGCCTGTACTACAGCATATGGTTTACCTAAAGTCTGACATATAACACTGCATAATATCATGTTTACAATTTGCTACTCAGTAACAGTACATTATTTCTCCATTTTTGTTATTTAATTTTTATCTCTTTACAAAATCACACAAGCTCATTCTCCACTAGCATACAAAGTTATGCTGACAATCAACATCATTTCTGGCTTTCTATATCACCATAGTTATTGCACACATATATATAAATATATATTTTTTGTCTAAAATGTGTAGGCAATTTTCAAAGAATTTCTTAAAAATTGCCAATAACGCAAAAAAAAAAAAACTGATGATATATGACAATCTTTGCTTAATTTCTACCTGAACCTATAAACTGGTGCTTGATATAGGGCATATCAGTTTTAGTGACAAAATGGTTTTTATTTTCTTTCTTTGTTTTCATACCAAATTATGCTTAAAAACATCTTAAGCCTCTTTCAACAAGTGTAATACAATAGGCAGCTACTGTACATTGCTTTATAACATATCAGCAGTAAGTGAAATAATATCAACATTATATATCATTGTTTATAAGTAAGTTGCTGTTACAAATTTTCAATACATACCTGTATAAATTAAGCATTTATGTTTTCTCACCTTTCACCAAGAAAATGGTACAAAATTATTTCACTACACAATCAATCAGTAGGAATAATATTTGAACTCTTTTTGTCTTATAGAATGGAAATAAATATTAAAATATTGAAAAAATAACATTAACAAAATTGTTTACTGTTTACAATTCAGAATCTTATATTTCAAATGTCATTTAAAAACCCGAATTGCCTTTCAGATTAAATAAATCCAGTAAATGCAAATAGAAAGGGTTAACACTTACAGCTATACTTTCTGTTAGGGTTAAATATACTTACAATATTTACAAATCCATTTGTTTAAGTTTTTCCAGGATATGAAAATCAACTGTCACCACAGAATATATTATATATTCCAAAATATACAGTACATGAAAAAGTTACAATTGAATCATAATCTCCTATGAAATCTTTCTATATTTTTATACACATAAATGACATGCTGTCATACCCAAGCTCTCCCTTCAGTAAATACAACAAATTTCACACCATCGAAAAGCTTCCTCACAAAACAGATCTATCTATATCATATTACTACACAGAACATATTATATACTGTGTATATAAATAATCAATGAAGTTGTAGTTTTATCAATTTTATTCTTACATACAACACTCACACAGACAGGTATATCATTGATCAATATCTGTGAATCATTCATTATTATCAGTCATTTTGAGGAGGCAAAACACAATTTATAGCACTTTTACTGAGTACTATATCAACAGAAGCACACATCATTACTGATGTATAGTAGGTTTCATTCTAGGTACATCCAAACTTAACATGTGACATTCATATCTTGCCAGATATAAAAACAGAGGACTAAATTCTATCAATTCTTAAACCTAAATGAAAAAGGCTTATTTGCGGTAAAATATGGTATATGCAAAAATATGTCTAATCATATAACCAACATTGTGTCCCATTTATGAAATTGAGGCATATAGAATCATAAAGGTTCAATAAAAATAAACCGATGAGTTCATACAATATTTTTTCTGGTCAATTTACAATAATTTATTAATAACTCCCCTTCAGTAACTCTTGAGATTTAGAAAAAAAAATCTGAGTTATTAAAAATACAAGACAAAGGTTGATGAATTTTAAGTTTTTCAAACATAATTGATTTCCATTATGCTTTTTATCTAAACATGTGAAAATATGATCTAAAAATATAAGAAATATTGTCTTGAAACCCAAAAACTTTCATTACAATTACAATAAAGTAAAAAAATATGATTAGAACATTAAGACTGACTGATAATTTCCCCTTTCATTTGTAGATTTTATACTTGAAAAGCGTTTGATGAATTAGATGATGACTATGACACAAAATAAGGAAATTTCTATAAAGACAACTACTTACCATCAGGAGCACCTGAACTACACTGACGCTGAAGTTGGTTACACAAAAAGCACTTTAATATTTAAAATGAGCAAAAAATGATCAATTCTAAAATTCCTCAAAGAATTCTGAAATCTACCATAGCTCTATTTATATTGAATATCAGGCATGGTATCTGAATACTTTGTGTATATTTCTCAGTTAAACTCCATCTTATATAAGTGACTAAACAATAGCAAACATCAACAAAAAACAAGGAAAACAAAATTGTTGCCAGGATTGCTTTCTTATATCAAACTGATTATCAGCTATAGCTAAATCTAGACCTCCTTTCCATCTTGAACTTCCATTAGGAAGGCACTTCACAGAATTTATGGTTTAAGTTACTAAATATTTCAAGATATTTTTGTAAAGTATCCTAGTCTCGGATAACAAAGCATTTAAATACCAGTTTTATAATGGTTTTTATAACGTGTTTTTTTTTTATCAATTTTCTTTATTCTCCACATAGCAATAGCCTCACACAAGTGGAGTAGAAATATCTATTTTTATCTTTTATGAACAACAAATCAACAAAATCAGAAACAGAATAGCTATGGTAAGCTCATTACCAAATGACATTTCCCTGTTGTAACCATGACGAAAAGGTGTGGCATTAAACTAGAACTGATAATGGACTGGTTTTACTCACAACACAGTCAAGATTATAAACAATGATAAATCAATAGTACAAAGCCCACCAAAATTTAGAGAAGTTAAACACTTAAGTGTCATTCACAGCAACAAGGAAAAAACAATTTGTAATATCTTTTTTTTTAAGATTCTAAATGTTTTGACATGTGACAATGTTTGAGATCAAACATAAAAAAACACTACACATTTCATTCTATGCTAACTAACATTGACTTATGTGCATTAGTTCTGGGATGATAATACAATATCACTTCTGATATTTGAAACTGACAGATGGTAACTATTATACACCACCCATAACACAGAAAAATAACAAAAAGCAGTAATATTGTGATTTTATATAATTCATGTAACAGTACATGTATACTGTTTTCTTTTGTTTTTTTTTCTCAATAAATCCTAAACCTGTGTGAAGGACATGATAATCCACATGCACAATCATAAAAGATCTCACTAAGTTTTTTTTATCTTGATGTCTACATCATGCTTAGGAGAGTTTTCCTCTAATTGAAATCAGTACATGTTCAATTTGTTTCCTTACTTTCTCAATCAAAATCTAATTAGGCAGCAGTGAATACAGTTGCCCATATAAGAATACACATATAGATTTGATAAAATAATATGGCACCTGGTTGAGACAAAAAATGTAACAGAAAATGTTGAATGTCCGTCACCAGATGACAGTGATAGAATGTAGTCCAGCCACAATGAGATTTCAACCTTGCTCCACTACTATCTCTTCAGTTAACCGAGGGACCCGGTGGAGGGGGACTTGGGTCCTGTAATGACAAAGTATTAATTAAGAACAATGACATTTAACCATTATCTGGTAGAAGAATATCAGTACTACTTAGAAGCATGACAACCCAGGGTGTAAAATTCTTATTAATTATGGTCAACAAAAGTAGGTAATGATAAACAGGGTTTTCCATAAGAGCTGGTCGCCGGCCAATTTGACCAGCTACTTTGATCATTTGGCCGCCTACACCAATCCAGTTCCATAATAATGTTCCGTACACGACTACACGTACATGGCAGGCCAGCCTCCTACATTCACTACACAGCCTACTACTAACAAAATTATGGAAAACCCTGATAAATGAAAGTAAAGTATGGATGTAAAAATAACTAACCACAACAAATATTATCTGGGTACAATATCTTTTAAAAATATTTCATTATTTTGTAATTATAGTTCCAGACCACATCAAGATTCCTATCTCAAAACTAGCTGATTTAGAAACATGCCATAATGGAACAGTACTTCCATGTTAGCAATCTGAAATTTTCACAAGCCTTGATGTAAAATTTAGTGGGGAAGACTTACATTATTCCTGGCTGGTTTGGAGTCACCAGTTGCCCTCATGCTCCTGGGACGAAAAAGGAAGAGAGCTGTAGCCAAGACTACCCAGCCTAACATCATCAGCATCATGTTGTTGAGGCCGCCATCAGGAGCAGTGTTGGCACCAGGCACTAAACATAGAGCACAGTAGTTTAGTAATCAGGGACCCAGATATGTAAATCAATGTTTTTTAAATTCCCTCATTCTTACACTAAAAAGACTGAAATATTTGTTTAAAAAAGTTTTAATCATCACAAAATTTGAAAAAAACTAGGCATTCTTATATTCTGTTTTGTTTATACATGTATAACATTCTTATACCAGGAAAACTTAAATTAGAACAATCTCAAATGTTACAAATATCGTTCATAAGTTAAAAGTTTCCACCTTTAAAAAAACAAACAAACAAAAATAATAATTTGGTCCATAACTATATGAATCATTAAAAAAAAATCATGATTTGATACTTGCTTAAAATAAATATCTATCCCTGACTATCAATATTCTGCTGAAATTACAGCCCGACATGGATTTTTGAAATATATCCTTTTATCGGTTTTTATTCATGTTTAATTACTTGAAGTGTCACTGCCTAGCAATGCAAAATTTCATACCGTGTGCTTTTCTAAATTTATCATCAGTGACTGCAGTATATACTTACAGTCTGTCAAACACTCATTGTCGGTACAATATGTCTGGGTGTTCCTCAACTGAAATAAAAATCAATAATCCACAGTGAACAGCTGATTTCATTTTAAATCACGACAGTTTCACTACCATGTACATTAGTTATTGATAACAACCAACAATTAGGTGGTTTTTTCCAAACAAGATATCTAAATTAAAAAAAAAATTGTCTTCACACAAATCAAGGGAAATCCTGGGGACTGAGAGAAATGGGTTATTTTCAGAAAAAAATAGTTAATATGGAAATTCAGGGGTGCCATTCCATATAAAATTGAAGACAAGCAAAAATATGGAGGGGTCTTTTTCACCTTGGTCTCCTTCTGGATTATCTCATTTTTTTTCAATATAATTACATAGAACATGAATAGCAATTTATTTCTCTGAAAATGGTCGTTTTAATCCTTCATTGATAGGAATACTAATCTACAACTAAACCATGCACTCACAATTGCATTTCAATTCCATAACTTATTTCTACATTTCATTATATAGTAATGTTAAAATACTACTACTCTACTCCAGTATTTATAAGATTCAATTAAATAGGAAGTGCAGCAGTTAACAGAATATATACGTTAAGAAAAAATAATGAAGAAGACAGATAGAATAGTCACTACCAATGACTTAAATGTATTTAAACATCAAGCAATTAAAGTTTCTCTACTTCTACCATCCAAAACCTGAGATGAGGTTTGATGATAGATCTTGATCATGGAAAGACAATTTTTCTGAGGAAGAAAATCAAGCACATAAAAGTCCAACTGATTTTCAATTTTGAAATTACTTATGGGATTAATTTCATCTGTTGTGATAAAAATTGAATTCTGAACACTCACCAAGTTAATAAGTCTTTGCATGGCATGTTCATGATTCCAGACGCACTCACAAGGATCAAAACCGTCAGCCATTTTTACTGAAACAAACAGAAATTTTTGTATGCAAAAATATTCTGGCAAATACATAAATTCTAAGTAAACATAATATCTTTCTGTAAATATCAATACTTGAGTGGGGGAAAAACACTATCAACTGAAAGTAGACAGAAAGGTTTTTATGTCTGTCAATTAGACTTTTACATCTTTAAATAAACTGTAGTGGCAGCACTATATTATCTTATCACTATACATTGTCTTTCACACTGCATTGATCAACAGCCATCTTATGAGAAACTATAAACAAGATATGCTGAGACATTTTTGTTATATAAAAAGTTCCATTCTAATTCAAAATCAGTCCAACTACAGATGTATGCCTACAGTAAGCCTGTGGTCATACCTAATTTGGATTTCATCAAACATCTTTAATCAAAATATCTCTCTTCTTTACAGCAGATAAAGTCAAAATATGATAAACATTTGAAAACTATTAGACTCCCAACAATAATATTGATCCTGCCAAGGAGCTTAGAGGAGCATGTATAGTCAAGTGAAAGCCAGTTGAAGACACTGGTTTGTAAAGACGTGAAGCTGGAAGTTACACTCACTACCATCCAGACATTAAACTTCGATTAACAGGTACTATTTCAACCCCTTCAATGAATATACCAGCCATTATAATATCTATCTTGCCTATCTATTAATCTTAACAAAATCAGTTTACATGGCACTACCACAGGTGTCTGGTGGGCTATATCTCCTTATAACATATGCTGTGAATGAGTTTTTTTTTAAATGTGATATCATGTTATATTTCAATATAAAGGCGATGAAGGAACAGCAAATTATTAAAGTGCTGAATATCCATATTGTTATCATTAATTAATTAATACATGTAATACATGAATCTTCCGTACAATTTCTGTCTTAATTTCGTCACCATTAGGCACATAAAAGTAATAATATTTCCTTTTAGACAGCAATTTACAAATTGAGATGAAGACAAAAAAATCAACTGATTATAAATAATCAAATTTCTTTAAATTTATTATTTTAACAGACATATATAACACAAATTTATTGATTTCTTAGCACTAGAAAATTCGACAATACATAAAAAAGAAATTTTAATTATAGACAATTTACACTTTATTTACATATGCACCAAAGAGTCTTTTTATATAATAAATTAAGAAAACAATGGATAGATATTCTGAACCGTTCGGACTAATCATAGATATCAAATATGTGAACACAAATTTTAAAAGGATTTGTCATATCGTCAGTAAATTTACGTAAGCTAGCTATATGTCAGAAAGTTAGTCAAATTCATCAATCATTTTGCAGACCTTGCTACACCACAGACTTACGAGCACATCACATATGTTTTATATTCGTTTCTGGCTCAACCAATGTACTTAACAGTGTGAACGTTGAGCCCTTGTGTTGTTGTAACACTTAATGTTGTGGTTTTGATTAAATTACAAACGCTGGGGTCTCTTGACTTCAAGCAAAAAGCACATAGATATACAATGAGGTAGGACGAGATCTGAGAGAGCCTTATTACCGGTCAACTGATTACAAAACGTCCATCAAGAGACTTTTTTTTTTTTTTTTTTAGCTTAACGTCCTTGTTCCGGTTATAACCGAGCCTAGGACTCCATCAAGAGACAACGTCGGTTTATTATATATAATCCATGACACGGCCGAGTGACTTCATAACGATCGACTTTACTGAACCCGATGGGCTCCTAAAACAATCTATGGCCGTGATTATCTATATATAATGGACAGAAAAGCCATTCCTGATGACCTATTTCCTTCCTTCTGTAGACTGTGCCCGTGGACATTTTGGAAATGTAGAAAATATTGTTTATGTAGACATTTCCGAGTTAGCCATTCATGTATTTGATCATAATGCTTATCTAATTTGGAATTAAGAAATAATAACGACAAGAAGAAATGTCTAAATATGAAGCATATGGCCTGCCTACCTGTGATGTTTTCGTCCGATCCTTCCTCTGTCAGACTCAACCGCAACTTCCTGTCCCCAGTTTATCAACAAAGACACGTCAGGGTTTAGTAAGGTGCCCGGATGTCAACATCGCCGACCCAAAGAATATTGTGCGCCAAATTCAAATCCAGCTCATACCATTTGTTTTGCACACCAAACTAAAACAGAAAACAACAATTAGTTAGCTTACATTGTATTTTAATCATCATTCCCAGAGATGGACAATAGTATTCCTGATACTATGGGGAAAAAAACTACGTAATATAACGGAATTTATACATATAAAGTCGAACGGATTACCGCGTATTCTTGAAGTATGAAAACACATCATTTTATTTTTCTTAGTTCGCAAAGCTTGATCTACCTCTCGTTTTGGACGAACCATAACAAACATTTTTATGAAAACAAATAGACGACATTGCTCGTAGTTCCAAATGCAAGCGGCAATTTTTTTTCAAAAACGATAAACAGATTTTTTTTATCACACGTGCAGAAAAAAAAATCGTTTCTATGCCCAGAATCAGTCTTATTCATATGCAGCACGGTCCCTTAAATCGCCAACAACAAAAACTAGATATAAAATAATAAAGGTAGCTAATTTTTCGAATACCAAAATGTTTTGAGTTTTTTTAACGCATATTCAAGATCACGATAAAGATGTAGATTATTTTTTATAACACTCAAACATTTAGAACTGCGTGACAAATTACCAAAAACCCGCGAATACGTGTTTCATCGAAATTCTATTAAACAAATACTTAAAGAGAAGTAAAAATTAGTACTTGAAATAGTAGTATCACATTGTGAAAAGAAACCCGGACTTCTAGGATCCATCTGCTGTATAGATGAATAATGTTTAGTTTAAACAATATTTTATTCAATGTTTAACATTTAGATATACATATAATTCAAATCTTAACTAAGAGGATTTGGTAACAAGCTTAAAGCTTATGTAAAACCATCTCCTAAAATGTTATACCATTCACATATCGACAGAGTGGTCCAACTAAAAAGGAATGCTGGTGGCAGCTATAAAATTACAATCCGAGTACTGATCATGTGTTTGAAATGTAGTCGCGTGCAAATTAGATATGAGTTGTTTTTAATTCCCTATATTACCTCTGAACTGAAGAGTGCAGAGAGTATAGAATATTATAAGATATAACATAACATTTGGTATAATTAAGCATAGATACATAGTAAGTACAATAATAAAGTATATAGGTACATAATAAGATAGTTGTACATGCACATGGAGAAACCGACCTTATAATGTGGGAAGCATAATGATAAATTGGTATTAATACATTTGAGTAAGTAAAATATTGTGCAAGATATGCACTGTAATGATAATTTTGTAGGCCCACAGCACACAGGGGTTGGGGATACCCCTACCAGCAAGGTGTTGCAGGCTCTCAATTTTTTCACAAAAAATATAAATACATTATGCCATGCACATATATCATCATTTTAAAGCCCAATTGATGCATGCATTGGGTATAGTCATATTTGCAATTTGTAAGAATATAAGTGTAGTACACTATACAACATCATTATGCAATATAATGATAAGTTTGTAGGCTCACAGCACACAGGGGTTGGGGATAGCCCTACCAGCAAGGTGTTGCAGGCCCACAATTTTCACAAAAGATGTAAATACATTATGCCATGCACATATATCATAATTTAAAGCCTAGTTGACGCATACATTGGTTATAGTAATATTTGCCATTTGTAAGAATGTAAATATGGTACAATATGGCGACATAGCAATCATAAAAAATAATAGGTACAGTATTTGTAGTGAAGGTAAATCATTATAAGTATATAATATGTCCATACTAAGGGCAAGTATATTATATTAACTAGGGACTAAATTTCATATTACTGATACATGTAAGTACTTTGCGGATACCGTTAAAGTACGTATATGTTACGTTGGTAAATAATGCGTGAATGGATATCTACATTCAACTAAAGGCAAATATAGTATTTCTACGCAGTTTAGAGCGAGTATGGGTAAGTAATTTATGATTAAATTGGTAAGAGGTACAAGATTTGCAATGAAAGTACATCGTGACCAAGTGATTGAGAACGAGATTGTTGTTAGAGTAAGCACAGTCAAGTTATTTTTACAAATGGAAATGGATACGATCATGCAAATCGTTCACTTTTCATTATATATTCTTGAACAGCTGATACGATTTCCTCGTTTTGCTGTATAGTTAAATCGGGATTTCCCCAGAGTAGACATTCAGTATTTAAATCATAATTGAGTGCCCAAATGTATTGTTCTCTTATGTTTGTGTATTTTTCACAAGCAAATAAATAATGAAAGTTGTCTTCAATATAACCGCATGTACAAAAAGGATCGTCGCTAATGTTTTTCTCAAAGAGGTGTGCTTTTAAGCTGCTACATAGTAGTCTAAGTCTCGAATGGTATATTTGGGCTGTTCTGTTTCCATAGGATCGGTAACTAGGCGATTTACCTTTGTCTCTATAAAGATAATGTTTAAGGACAGACACAGAGGGGTTTTCTCGTATAGTGGTAGGTAGATTGTTCCACAAATGGACAGTAGAAGGAAGGAAGGAGTTTTTGTAGAAACTGGTATTAGTTTTAATGGTAGATAAATGATTCGATTGTCTAGTTCTCATATTATGTATTTCGGAATTTCTCCGTGGAAGTATATTAGAAAGAGAAGACGGAGTATGGTTATAGACCATGTTGTGGAGCTTGATAATCTTATGTTTTTTCCTGCGTTCTGCTAATGTGTCCCAACATGTATCTTTATATAACAATTCTATACTTACCAATTTTGTTGCTCCAGTAACAATCCGTGCTGATTCCTTGTGAATAGATTCTAGTTTATTAATAAAGACAATTGGCAAAGAATCCCAAACAACATCAGCATATTCAAGGATCGGCAAAATATATGAGAAATATATACGTTCTAACGTGCTACGGTCAAGAACAAATTTGAGCTTCCTTAGGGCAGATAACCTTTTGGACGCCTTCAAGATAATACCGTCAACATGATTAGTCCAACTTAAATCTTCATTGATATATACACCTAGATGTTTGTGTGTTATTACTTGATTGATATTTGTGTTATCCATACTAAGTTGTGGAAGGATAGATTTTGAAGATTTCCTACTGATTAGTAACGACTCTGTTTTATTTGCATTAAACGTAACTAGCCATTGATTAGCCCAAGCATGAATATTACATAAGTCATTATTTAATACGTTGGCTGAGTTAATAGCGTTGTCTACTACGAGATAGAGGGTAGTGTCATCTGCAAATAATTTTATAATACTAGCAATGTCAGAAACTATATCATTGATAAAAATCAGAAACAATAAGGGTCCTAAAATAGAGCCCTGTGGAACCCCAGCTTTAATTGTACCATAGTTTGAAAATTCACCGTTTACCAAAACTCGCTGTTTCCTATCAGAAAGATAACTTTTGAACCACCCTAATAGCGTTCCCCTTATGCCTGCTTTATTTAATTTATAAAGGAGTCCCTTATGCCACACCCTATCAAAAGCTTTACTTATATCTAGGAAAATAACCTGCACCTCCTTCCCACAATCTAAAGCTTTACCAATATCATTTGTAATAGTCAATAGTTGATTTATAGCAGAATCACCTCTTCTAAAACCCGACTGGTGTTCGGTGAAAAAAGAAGAGTCTCGTAGAAAATTATACACATGTTTAAAAACACACCTTTCCATAACCTTTCCTATTATACTAATAAGGGAAATCGGTCTATAATTTGAAACTACACTAGGGTCGTCTTTTTTAAATATAGGAATAACATTAGCCATTTTCCACATTTCGGGATATGATTGATTCGACAGTGATTTGTTAAAAAGACTACAAAGAGGCCCAATTAACTGACGTTTACCTTCTTTTAAAAATTTCCCACTTATTAAGTCAGGCCCAGGTGCTTTAGACGCGTCAAGTATACTAATAGCATCAGAGACGTCCTGCTGTGTAATAGTAATATTTTCTAGTATGATAGTAATATTGTCATGATTAACTGGAAGGGGTCGATGTAAGTCGTTAAGTTCGGTCTGTTGAATAAAGTAGTCATTAAGAATAGTGGCTTTTTCTTTATCATCAATGTACTCTTGACCATTATAAATGATCATAGGTACGTCAGTAGTTTTACATGAAAAGTTAGTTAATGAGTTCAAGACTTTCCACCAATTTTTAGAAGAGTTAGGAGTGGTTTGAAGGTAAGATGATATTTTTTTGTAATAATTACTTTTCGCCTGCCGAATAGCATCAACACATGTATTTCTTACTTTTCTGAATGTTTCCCAATGAAGTGGGTTCTGTGTAGTCTTGGCTTTTGCATGAATTCTTTTTCTAGTTCTGATCAATTTACGTATATTATTGTGCATCCAAGGCGGGTCAGCTTTTCTTATTGTGATACATTTGTTTGGTATTGTCTCTGAAGCTATTTGAGTAATTGTTTTTGTAACATAATCTGCATCGAGATCTGTAGATAATGCTTCTGTATCATTCCAGGTAATGTTATTTAATTTCTCACGATAATTGTTAAAATTGCAATCTTTGTATAACCATATACGACGTTTGGTGCATTTACAGTTCGGTGGGCGTTTGAATTTCAGATACGCATATATAGGACAGTGATACCTTATATTACTTTTCAGAAAAGGATCACCTACATGGGATTGTTCAACAATACCATCATTGCTAACGAGAAACACATCTATTAAGGATCTTGAGGTTTCTGTGAAATGTGTTGGCTCATTTATTAACTGCTTTAAAGCGAATTGGTTCATAATATCTTTAATTACACTGTTATACGTGGATAGAATATTGTCATTCAAATCACCAGTAATAAGAATGTTTGTAATACCTGTACTAAATGCAAGTTCTATAGAGTAATGGATTAAATTCCAAGTTTGGTCGTTGATGTTTGGGGGGCGGTAAAAAGTGCCAAGTAGCAGTTTATGAGATTTCAAATGTAATTCTAGCCATACACTTTCAACATTCCTGACCTCGAGATCTTTACGCCGTTTGACAATGATGTTTTTCCGAACATAGACACCGCCACCAATTCGCGTTTGTCTGCTTTGACAAAAAGGTGGATAAAAATGGCCGTGAATGAGATCATCAGACGACTCGTTTGAGGGGTTTAGCCATGTTTCGGTAAACGCAAGCACGTCAAAAGTATTCAGTTCAGTAAAAATACATTGATTTTATCTACGTTATAGTGAACAACACATAGTTGGACCTGGATTGCTTTCTACAACAATTGAACAAGAAGATCATATAAGACTACAAGAATGTCTAATAGTAAAATGAAAGTAAGTAAGACATACCAATTCTGACTTACTTTATGTGGATGTACCTTTTTAGGACCTCTAGTGATTACACCTATACCGTATAGGAAGATACAAGTGATAATGGGTAAGGCTTTCCATCCAAAGTTAAGTACCAGGTTTACTGCCAGTACAGTAATTGGATCTAAGCGTTTGTGTAAGGGTAATGTTAGGGATTTGTCATAGAAGGCGCCGGTAAGAGTTCGGTGGCTTATTACGTCACTCGGCATCAGGTAATACCAGATACGTAGGAGAGGTAAGTACTTTTAAACACAGCGCCTTCTACGCTTGAGAGTTCAAATATAATTTTCAGATGAATAATGAAAAGTTTCACAAAAATTGTATACATGATCAGTACTCGGATGTAATGCATTCCAATAACAAAAGCAATGAAAACAACAAAGTGTATGTACATATAAAGAAACATATGGAGACATTTTGCACCATGGATTTGAGATAAGGTAAGTATTCAATATGTACATGTGCAGCAAAGTTGGCTAGCAAACGTTCAGAGTAATAAGATTGGTTTCGGTATGTAATATCAATATTTAATTATTAGTTAAAGTTAGTTATAGATATAATGGTTCCTATAATAATGTCTATTATTGAGTGATAGCATTTCTGATCGTTTTCGAAATTGGTTCGCATGAATCTGATTCAAGTATATTTATTGAACAAGAGATCAAGCACAAGTTACTGTCATTTAATTTCACATTCCCCAATATACTTTTGCATGGAAAATAATTATTCTTATGTAAACATGCGTACATTTATGTCTACAATAATCATTAATATCAAAATTAAAATCTGTCACTAGACCTCACTGAAGGACAGCGCATGTCTGAACATATTTTGATTAAGGCCCATGGTAAGAAACCAAACCAAATTTAATGCAGAAATAGTCTAAGGTTTCTGACATACAGAATTCTATTTTCTGATACCAGAAAATTATTTCATGGAAGAAATAAATTTGAATTTTCAATATCAGAAGATATCTGAAATATATTTATAAAAAAAAATGAATGAATTAATTAATTAGTTGATTAATGGATAAAATATCATGCTTTGAATTTAAGCAAATGTGTTCATATGATTTTCTGATATCAGAAAATTTGTTTGTATTCTAATATCCATTAAATGAATTTTCTGATATTAAAAAATGATAAATGAAATCATTTTTTTTATATTTAAAATAAAAATACGATTTCAGTGGAACGTTGTTGAGAATATCATAATCAGAGACTTGAAGTTAAAAGATGAGGTGCCTGTGGTATAATAAAGTTTCAATCTATATTGGAATATTTCATTTTCATTGTTTCTACAACTGAAAAGATGTCCCTATTTTCCTCTCTTACTACACGGAGGATTTATTCCGGAACCATATACCGGATCTTCAACTAGCATCCTCCCTCGCGTCTTGCTCACGTGTATGCTTGAAAATTCGCGGGAAGGGAAAAACCGAGAGTTTGGCAGAAGGCAGGAAGAGTTCAGCACGTGTGATTTGTTTACAGTATATATCCTTAGCCTATCGTCAATATTTTGAAATGGATCAGGAAGACGAATATTATACGGTTTGTTTCTAGACCATTAGGTAATGTTTTGATGCATGAAAATGGTGTTTGTCATAAACAGATGATTTTAAACGTGTGCTTCTTCGACGTAGCAAATTGGGTGAGATCTATCTCAGAGCTACAACCACGACAGAACTAGTTTTACATGTATTTGGTACGAGCAAGGCGAGTATTGATACTAGCACAACATAGGAATTATCTTCAACATTCTTCATTTATAGTAATTTTGTAACATGCATTACACCTCTCCAGGGGTTTGGTACCAAATGTTTTTCCCTACTCTACAGATGGTGTTTGTAATCCTCCCTACTCCACATATGTACCGATAATGCTATATGGGTCATAGCACGCATGTCTATGTGTGCTAGGACCATATTGTCATCGGTCTGTTACAAATATCAACACGCATCTCAGTTTTTGTGTTCATGAATCGCTATCCCTAGAAAAATCGAAGACTCCAGCTCCGCCGTTCACAGTTATCAATGGTATCTTCCTGTGCTGCATTCACTTATAGTCTGTAATTAGCATTTACCACCTGACTCACAGGTACAAGCCTCGTCTGTCAACACTAAGCCTCAATTCTCCATACATACATTATTCAGTTCTATGATTTTTAAAGAATTGAACCCGGGACCCCCGGCTTATGAGTCTTGACGCTCAAACTCCAGTAAACAACTCGTCTTCAATTGGTGGTAGGGCATGGCTAACTACTATTCTGGGGTCCGTACATGGACGTCAATGTAAAAGAGGTCATTATTGACTTCAATGCCTCAGCGAGGAATCGATTCTGGGACCCCGGACTTACTAGTCAACTGATCAAGCTAAAAAGAAGTTCTCTCTAGCTGTGTGGTATATTGTGGCTTGTATTTTCTAGGGTGACATATATCAACCTTAAGTTTCTCTGTTGATATTTTGTTGGCATTAAGATTATATTGCTTTAAAGCTCAGTTTCTGTAATGACAAAACAAAGAACTATGTATCTTAACAAATTAACTTTTCCAAAGTAATGTTGATTTTGCGATGATCCAACCTAAGGACAACTTACAAAATTTTGCTACGTGACAATTTAAGTCTTGAGTTCATTTGATACTATCATATTTTACTCTTGAATAGAATAAATATATCAGGGACAGTGAAATAATGAATATAGGAAACAGATTAATATAAAATAGTCTTCTTTCTTGTAGCAAGAAGAAGTTGCTGTTCCCTTGAGGGAACCCCTCAACTTGAGTGAACTACGGAATCCTTTAAGTGAAGGTCAAAGTTTTCAACTGCGAGAAGATTTCATGGCAGCAGGTTAATAATCTGAAATGTATATGTTGATCTGTAAATGGTAAAGGCATTTGTTCACTTATAATACATCAATAAAACTGCAGACATTGTGGCATCAACTGGGCAGGACAAAAGCACTATCTGGACTACTTGGTCTGAAGCATCCTTAGGAAAAGTGAAGTCAAGTTTGCATGAATATTGGTTCTAGGCTCTCTGGGGCCTGAGAGATGGGGCCTCAAAAGGGGAAATTTTGCAAGTACTTTAAAATCCTATTCCTCGTGTAGAAATGAATGGATTTTGCCAAAACTTGTTGTGAAGTATTCTTTCCTGAAGGGAAATAAATCTTGTATAAATGTTAGGTCTGTCCCCACTGAAATCAATCATTTATAAACATTTGATCTCTCAGGCCCATGGGGCAGTAGAGTCTGGGCCAATAGGCGAAATTGAGTAAACTCTTTAATATCACACTTCTCCTAAGGTATGAATGAATGTTGTCTATTTTAGTTGTAAGCATTCTTGGAGGAAGATGAATCAATATTTGGTGAGAGGGGTGGGGCCCAATAGGGCAAATAGAGTAATTTCTTTAAAATCCAACCACTCCAGTAGGAATGATTGGAATTTGCACAAATTTGGTTAGAAGTATTATTGGATGAAAGAATATATAGTTTGTGTCAGGATTGGTTCCCAGTCCTTAGGGACCTGAGGAGAATATTTGATCTGAAGCAGTTTTGGGTGAAGGGGAATCAGTCTTTTGTAAATGGGAAGTCTTGACCCCCTTGCGAGAAAAGGGCAGTGTCCAATAGGAATAATAGAGCAAATTCTTTAAACTCTACTCCTCCTGTAGGAATGATGGGATTTTACCTCAGTTTGGTCAAAAGTATTCTTAGGTGAATGAAAATCAATTCTGTAAAAACATTGAATTTCAGCCCCCTAGGATGGGAGGGATGGGCCCAATAGAGTAAGTAAGTTCTTAACAATCCTTCTTCCATACAAGTATATTGACTTCTGTTTTAGCACAAGCCTGGAACTCAATTGGATAATTATATCAGAAATTATTTGTCATCTATGATTTTTTTTATTAATTGGCTGAATAGCTTAATAAACCAGGTGAGCGGTGCAGGCTCCTTGACCCTCTTGTTTATGTTAAACCTGTGGTGATGTTATCATATAACTTAGGGAGCCAAGCCAAAATATAAAGAAATTGCATCATTTAAAACCAAATGTTGTTTCTTTTTAGATGAAAATCTGACCAGCAATGCCTATTTTGAACCAAATGATGTTCTAAGGAATTGTTACGTTCCTGATGAAGATGACAATGACACTGATGAAGAGGATGGAACTTGCCCATTTGAAAAAATGGCAAAGAAAATGGTGAAGCTTATTGAAGATGGTGGTGTTGTGAAAAAAATACTTACACATGGAGCAGGCAATGTTATACCAGAAGGGTCTATTGTTACAAGTGAGTTACAGTCGAAACATTTCCTTTAATTTTATGATTGTAATGACTTCCTTCTTGAATACGTAGGCTTTTGCAGTTTTGAATCATAAAATTAATGTTAGATTATTCTGCCTGATTTTGTAATAAGATATCTGTTCTACCTGAGGGAACCCTTGTAAGTTGCCGTGGGAAAACTGGGAGTTGAAATATGTAGCAGATTGATGTTAATATTCCAATTCTTTGATGATTTTATCACAAATGTGACAAAGAAGAAATTATTTTGATTTTCCAGTTCACTACAATGGCTTTTTGGAGTATTCAGACGAGCCTTTTGATTCCTCACGTTTGCGAAGTGCTCCAGTCAAAAGACAATTAGGAAAAGGTAAAAAAGTTGTCAATGATCTCTGATGATTGTTTTGAAATCACTGTTCTGTAAATAAAATGCCTGTTTCCACTCAATATCTTGAATTCCATTGGTCTGATAAATCACACACTTCTCATGCAGTGTAATTGTTATTTTTGGGTTGCTTTCAAGTTACATTTTGACACAGTAACTCAAGTTCCACTCAGTAACTCACATTCTGCTGTTCTGATTGATCTCTAAAAGGACAAAACTTCCCCGTACAATCAACCAATCGGAGGGATTGGTATTGTGTAGCCATATTCAGAGATTATTATAACTAATTATGAACAAATTTTGGACAACATTAATTGGGTATTTGTTTATATTAAGATATAAATGGGAACAACCAGCTGGACCACTTTGACATCACAATACAGAGGTAGCAGCAGGAAATGGTGTTGTTATCAATATTGATAATAGAAACATTTGCTTTGGAATTATTCATTTTACTAACATTCCACAGTAACAGTCGCATACTGCTTCTTTATACTTCAGGAACAAATTAAGGAATTATGTTGCAGACATCAGACTTGCTTTTATTTGTACAAATTATCACATGGTCAGGATTTAAGTGGATTATTAGTATCAGAGGTTGGTGTCTTTCTAACCATTCCTTTGTATGTTACAGGTCAGCTTGTGGAAGGTCTAGAAATAGGAATCTCAACCATGAAGAAAGGAGAACTGTCTAGATTCATTATAACCCATGATTATGCATTTGGAAAACTTGGATGTGCACCTCGAATCCCACCTGAAGCAACTGGTATGCACTGCATATTTGTTGTATATCAAGTCTTTATGCTGTAATTTTCTGATATTTCATGGATACTGTTTTTAGGAGGTAATTTTAATGGTTATCTACACATGATGTTGATTCATCTGATAATTATATGACTTATATTTATTAGTTTAAGCACCTGATTGATGCTTATGAGTATAAACATGTGATTTTTATTTATCAGTCAATTGATATAATCTTTATCACTGTTTGTCTATATAAAATGTGATATCTCTCTGTTAAAGTGATGTATGAGGTGGAGTTGATGAGTTATGTAGAGCATGCTGGTCTGGATGAGTATAACTTTCTAACTGAGGTAAGTTAAGGGATTTGATCAACACCCATGCCACATCACATTAACTAAATCCAGTATTCTAGTCACAGTGTATACTCATTCATTTTACTTGCTCTTATACAAGCTTATGGTTAAATAAGTAGTGTTAAAATTTGATCAAAATTGCAAAGTGAATTTTTCTATTCTCTTTCTTAGATTTTCCAGCTCCTTTTCATCTGAATCTTATCATAACATTTTGCTTGATTTATTGGTGATTCTGCAATACATAATGATATACAATTCTAAATTCATTTCACTACTTAACATGCAGGATTTTACTTCTTTTTGATGGCACTATTGTTTGTGTAAATGAGTGGTCTCCCTTAGTTTAGAAAATTATGACGATTACATATCATAAAAGAAATATTTTCCACTTAAAAGTCTCTCAGACTGTCACTCCTGCATTTCTAAGTTAAATTTATAAGATAAAATTTTGAAATATCTGTATATTTTAAATGGAATCGATATTGATTACCTCAGATGCTTCCTGTGTTATGTTACCATGCCAACTTTTTACTGTATGAGGTTCAACAGCATTGTTGTTGGAATTTTACCTAAAATTGAAGAACATTGGACTTTATTGAATAAAGTCATTCTCTTTCAGTTTTTCATTCTTGAGGAAAAAAAATGTTTTCAGTTAGTTATGTTTTCGATTAGTTAGACACATGTGTTCATTAGCTCACACACATTATTGTTAGTAATATTAATATTTTTCATATTAGAGGAATTACTCTCTAATTTGTGACTAATCTTTTTGATTGAAGGGGGAGCTGAGCCATCGTTTTGCCGATTTTGTTGAAAAGATAAAATATTTTTCTTTTCCAAGATATAATTCGTCAGCTTTATTGTCCATAATAATGAAAAAAAAAGTTTGAACAAATTTTGTCTGAAACATTACTCTTGATATAATGCATGGACATATGGTGAGTGTATGACTTACATGTACTTATTTAAAAATCCATTTGGGATTAATGATGGAAGTAGCAAGTTTGCATTAAATGTTACTTAATGCATAGAAATCTTTATTTATTACAGGAAGAAAAACGAAATTTGAAATTTGATCAGCTGAGGAAAGTCTACATTGAAGAAAGACAGGTGAATTATTATTGACAAGATGATAAGATCTCGGGCATCTGATTTTCATAAAAAATACTGCTCCAGTAACTAAATTTTTTGTTCATGCAATATTGTGTGTTATTTGATGCACACTTTTTATTTTTGGACAAGACTGGAAGATCATAGAGCCCTGAACAATTTGACACAAGTAATGAAGGATTAAGGCACATAATGTCTGTAATATATGTTTATAAATATATAATATAGGGGAGAAATATTACATTTTCTTCTGTAAACATCGCATCTAATTTCACTTCATGTTTTAAGACAATATTGATCTATTGCTGTGATACCCGTGTATAGAGAAAGAAATTGAAACTTGATTAAAAAATAATTAGACTGCTGGCGAAAAAAGAAGCATGATGGGCATGCATGACACAGCCTTATGTTGTACATTTGTTGTCCTCAGTCCTAGTGCATATAGTTAGTGAACTCAAAATAAAAAGGACCTTCCTGAATTCACTTGCTGCAAGCATTAAAACTAGTGTGTCAGTAAATTATTCATATTTTTGGAGCACGTCCTTTTATAATACTTAAAAATGCAAATTGTGTAGCCTTTAAAATTTTACAATGTTTATTTGTAAGAAAAGAAATTTGATTATAAATTAATTTGCCAAATTTGTGAAACACAGAAGTAACTTTTTAACTGATAGCAGTGTATTTTATTCTATTTTTTCAGCATGGAAAACAGCTCTTTGATGCTGCCCAATATAAGAAAGCATTCCGACATTATCGCAAGGTAAAATACCTACAGTAGTTCACATAAACAGTGCATTTTTTAAAAATTTGTATATATTGTTAATAGAACACATAATGATCTCTCCGGAATAAACTTCAATTGTGAGTATTAATTGTTGATGGCATCAGAATATACCAAAATCTTTCGTCAGTCTGAGCAAAATAAAATATAAAACAAATTATGGTGATGAAAATAAATTTGATTTGGAGGATCAGAGTCACCATCACCCCCAAAGTTATAAAGATTACACCAGCAAGGCAGGAATATACCAAGTATGGAATATTCACATAAGATAACTGACATATTAATCAATTAAGCAATTGTTTGTTTCAATTTGTTATTTTTCCATTTTATATATTGGATAAAGAAGCCATTCACCTCTAAAAAAGTAGATTACTGTTGGTGTATTGGCTGAAATTTGCATTGCTGTATCAGTATGCAGAGTATTGTTTGAAAATATTGCTACAGAGTGAACCTTGCCCTTTACATTATCCTGAATGACCTTGACATTGCTAACTTATCCTTAAAGACCCTGTTATTTACTGACTTACTCCTGCATGACCTTGACCTTTACTGACTTATCCCTGAATGACCTTAAACTTTGATAGTTATTCCTGAATGACCCTTACCATTACCAACTTTATTTCCAAAGGTCTTTGCCTTTTTTTACTGATCCTTTGACGACCTTGACATTAATGAACTTATTCCTGAGGGACACTGCCTTTTATTGTGTTAATCCTGAATGACATCGACTTTCAATAACTTATTCCTGAATGACCCTTACAATTACCAACTTATTCCCAAATGACTTTGCCTTTCTTACTGATCCTGGGATGACCCTGACCATGAACTTATTCCTGAAGGACACTTCCCTTTACTGACTTGTTCATGATGAACCTTTTCCTTTCTTGTTTGTCAATATAAAAAATATGCAGTTTTAATTGATTTCAGGCAGCCACTGTTCTGGAGGAGTACCACCTTAAAGATGACGAGGAGGAAAGAGAACAGCAACAGATGCTGCTCAAAATGTACCACCACATGGCTGTCTGCAGCAGCAAATTAGCTAATCCAGGTCGTTGTATCAACTACTGTAAAAAAATGATGGAGATCAACCCCAAAGATGTCCATGCATTCTACTTTTATGGAAAGGTAGACAACTGCAGACACTGGCAGAATTTTCATATGTGTTTTCTCTCAAGATTATCTATAACATAAACACCCAGTTGTTATCAGTGTAATAACACACATGAAATCAGTTGTGTGATGAAAACTCATTTAGCAACACCTAGCAGAACTTTTATTGACTGAAAGTTCTTACGGTTTAAATTGTGATGTCACCATAGATATAGAGATTCGGAGTGAGAATATCACCAATTTTGATCTTAATTAATTTCTGATAAAATGATTTTTTATGAATTCTTGCTTATGTATTTGAGTCACTTGAACCAGAACCATACATTTGTTTCCATTTTATATGAGATACAGGAAGATGTTTTGGTTTGATATTTCAGTCCCTGCACCAGCAGCAGGAGTTTGATCGAGCCCGTGACTACCTGGTCAAGGCTCAGCGCCTGGAGCCAAATAATTCCAGTATTAATGAAGAGCTGGTGAAACTAGAAAGGTGAGTTATTTCAATTTATCAGTCTATTTAAATATTTTAAGAAAAAGAAATATATTGCAATATTTTAAGTATTTTTGAGAAGTTTGATTATGGCAAAATTAGCAACCTGATTAATCAACAAACACGGGATATAGGTTTGAGGATTCATGACTGTGCTGACAGCTGAGTATACCTGACCTTTCACAGAACACCTGATTTTCCATTAATCATGACCTTGTTCCCAAAACAAGTTTTACCATCAAACTGTAAGATTAAATTTTGATGTTGAGTAGTTTTCTGAAAATGGAAATGATTTTGTACAATAGTATTCAACAAACTTGTCACAATTTGTTTCAACGGTTTGTTCCAAATACCATTCTTTTGTGCAATATGTATACAGGTACACTTGGCAGATAAACTCTCTAACAGGGTTTAAGAGAGATTCAGTTAAATGCAGGTTATAGGGAAATTATACAGTCAAAATAAGCGATATGAAGCTGGTCGTGTTTAGTATTGGTTAGTTTGCCAGTTGGTTCTATTTTCGTTAACCTTGGTTTTTTTTTTTTTTTTTTTGAAACACGACATTACTTCTTTGATTGACCAAGATGTACATATGGATGCAAAAGTTACACTTCCAGAACACCATGTATTTTTATCCTTGTACTTTTTTCAGTATAAATTTTAACCTAGTCTCCTCAAATAAGATTCTGTTGAAATTTCGGTATTTTCTTATTTCATTTAAATTAATATTTCAGTAATTTAACAGTGTACTGCCCAAAATATGTTTGGTAATATTTGATATTACTGTGCATTTAATTGGAATATTGTTCATTAATTTCCGTTTTATATAGGTATGCCTTATTGAATGAAAACTTTCTCATTGATTTGAAGACATTACTGTCACACCTTACAATTTACAGTAATATGAAGAAACACAAAGTTATGGAAGCAGATATGTATTCTCGGATGTTCTCTAAACCCAAGGGACGGACGCCTAAAGGTAAGATTTTGTTATTTGATTTGAGATTGAAGCTTACTGTTTACCCTCCTGCTTCTGTACTACCACATTTTGCTCTCTGGACTTATAACATATACTTCACATTTAATATTGTATTGAACATGTCCTCAAGATACAAAACTAGAGTAAATGATATGTGTGTTTATATAAAGTCACTTAATAGTTGTTTTACAACAGTTGGACGAGGAAACCTTCCAAGCTATTTTGTTATTGAATGTTTGATAGCACTTTGTTATAAAATCATTTGACAACAATTTCAAAACAAGGAGTACAGGAGATTATTAGTTTTGAGACAATTTATCAAATAATGAGGTCCTGAAGAAGCCCGGGAGGGCGAAGCCGGTAGACGGTATTAAATGAATACAAGGAGCAACCACTCTGCAGACTGTTGTGATTGATACTTATATTCAGATAATGAGTATTTAACAATATCTAGTTATCCCAATATAAATACACTTTGTCACAGGGGAAAAAAAATTGAAAACAATCAATCTGTTTTAGCTTTGTTGTTTCCTGTTTTAGATATATTATTTGGTTTATTTTGTAGAGAAGGAACAAGAAAGCAACAAAATAAAAGAGAAAGAAAACAAAGCTTATGATTGTTCTCCAGACTGGGCCAACCTTGTGAAGACCAAGCTTACGTAAGTATAATAATACTGATCCGGCCTGCACGTGGAGCTGTAACACATATACACAGGGGTTTCCATCTGTTTCCAGGCATGCAATAAACTTGTAACACAATGTGAGCTAGAACCAACACAACTCAGTTCCTCCATAGGCTCTGCTGAAACTACATGCCACAGGCATTTGCACATAGTTTATATAGTCTGGTAGTATTAAGACAGTGTATTTCAATGTATTTACTATAAATTGACACAATTAATAACAATTGTAAGTGTTTGGTCGAATTATACCTCTTCATCAACTCTTCTAAATTAGATTAGTTTACGTACATTGGATTCGATTGCCTTGTTTTGCCAATAGTTATATGATTGAATTCTTTGATTCTAGGCTCCTTTGTTATTGTTTCATAAACCCATGTGGTATGTGACACGAAGGAGTTTCTGAATTTAACTGTAATAACATTGGAATATGAAATAATTTCTAAAAGCTTGGTGGCCCTATCTATCAAGTGATTTAAGAAGAACATTATATTAGTATCGGAGTAGTCATGAATACAAAAGATTTAGCCCTTGCTACTCAGTCTTTGCAGTTTTACTTATACTTGGAGATGGCTTAATATAAGATTTATAATCTTGTTGCCAGATCTGTTTTCAATTTTATAATTTGTGTATGTGTATGTTGTAAATGAAAATCTGGAAATAAAATATTGTTTAAACCAAACCTATACTTGCATCTGAATCCAAGACGAGAGTAATTTTGTTGTGAATGAATTAAACTTTTATTTCATCGTTAAAATAATTTGATATGAACAAACCTCTTCATATTGGTGTCAGATTTCAACCTTATTGATACTATTCCATAGGGAGTTCTGTAATGACTCAAGCCAGTCGGAGATGCCCTTTCCCTCATACAATTTCACACTGGGTGAAATAGAATGTATTCTGGAGACTGCCATTGAGTTTGGATTGGATGCAAAGGAGGTTGGAAGTGTAAGTAAAATACACCTTCTGAACTACATAAGTGGTTAAATGTCTGTCTTTATAAAGAAGCGTTTGTTTTAAACAGGGTTTAATTAGTTTTACAACAGAATTGAATGAGATGTACATCTTTACAATATTACATATATGTGAATGAAACCAAACAGGGGGCATTAAAGTGTTTAAGATCTGTTTTAGGTACTTTCAACAGTTTTCTTTTAAAGGGGCACGATCATCGGCCTCCATGAGTGTGTACTTTCATGTTTGTATTTCCAGAACATTTCGCTCATAAAATGTATTTAAGGTCTGTCAAGATTTGTGCAGTATGAAGGAACATGATATACCAAAAGTAGATCTCTGCAACCTGTAACTTTGCATTGGAATTTGGGCATTTGTTTAGTGTCCATCTTGGAGTGATGTGTAAAAGTATGTTGCTTTCACACATGGGTGGTCATTTATACTAGTTATGGTGATATGTCAATATGATTCAGACTTTTAAGTCTTCAAATGTAGAACATGCATGTGTCATTATTAAGAGTCTGTCTAGTTGTATTTAACATAAGGGCACAAAATATAATTCCCCTAACTTTGATCGATGTACAGAAAGATAGTCACACTGCTTGGAGATTCTTATCTGTCTCACCCTGAGCAAAGTCTAGGGTTGAATAGTCCAGGATTTCCTCGGGAGTCTAGAGCTAATTGTTTTGTCCTTTTTAATCCTAACCTTGATCATTTTGTAAATGGTAAAGAAACATTTTTATTGTTCTGATATCTCTTAACTTTTCAGGGTCAAAGTTATCGGATAAAGTTGTACAAGAAGTCATAGAAATTTTAGAAAACAGTTCAAGGAAAATTTGTCAAGATTTTTGGAGTGTTGGAGCAGACAACTGTAGATGTTTTCCAAGCACAGAAGATCTAAATCCTGAAACCCTGGATTCCGAGTCCTGTAATGGTTCTGATTTGGATGATGCTGGAAATTCTGATGACCACTTAAGTGCATGGATGTTGGATCTATGATGAACATGAAGATAAGTGAAGCCTTTGTAAGAGAGGAAAGAGTTATAAAGAATTGTCCAGCATCTGTGTATCTGCCATGCATTGATCTAAGACCGAGAGGAGTTTCCTGTTACGAGAATGTGAAAAAAGATGATATTGTTTCTAGTCATTTGATGCAAAACATTTAAAACTTGATCTGAATGAATAGAACTTGAATTATTCTTGGTTTGTAAATTGCTGTCAGGAAATGAGACTGATGAAATAAAGGATAGTTCCCTTTAAATTTGGCTTACAATTTGCATTTTCAAATAAGCAATCTAGAGTTAGTTCCCTTAAATTTTACCAAGTGAGAATAGCAGTGTAATAGCAGAGTTAACTCCCTTAGAATTTTGCTGGCAGGTTGTAGAATAGAAGAGTTAGTTCCATTCAAATCTGACCAATGAGAATGGCTGGTTCTTTGTGTATAATAGACGATCTAGAGTTGGTTACATTAAAATTTACCAAATGAGAAGGGCCGGCTCTTTTTAGAATAGAAGAGTTAGTTCCATTCAAATCTTACCAATGAGAATGGCCGGTTCTTTGTAAAATAGAAGAGTTAGTTCCATTCAGATCTGACCAATAAGAATGGACATTTGTTTTGTAGGATAGAGTAGCTTCCCCATAAATTTAGCTTTCAATAATGACAAGTTTTTTGACCTATCTGCATTATCTGGTGCCATGTATGACTTACTGCAAGTGTACATCTCAACTACTGAGAGAAAACTTAGAGAAAACAAAACAATATCTTTAATATTAGGACCACTGGTTAGAAATGAATGCTTAGATGTTATCATAAGTACATACCAGGTATATGATTTGTGCATTTTTAGTGAGTTATGCTGTCATAAGAATGAGGAAAACTGTTTTGAAATATGAACAATGGAAAAGTGTTTACGCTGTGTTCTTGTCAGAAAGTCCTTGTTTTGGTGCCAAACATACTTGCTGAATGGTGTGATAAGAGGTTCTATCAAACAGAGGCTTATAGGTTAATTACTTATGATAAAAAGAAATATAAGACTGGTACACATTTTTGATAGTAAATATTTTGATTATAATCAGCATTGATATGATAGATGATTTGGTATTATTACCTGTATAGGTAACTCAGATTTTCTTACTCTCTAGTACTTGTATTGATGTGTATTGTATAGATTTTTTCTAAACACACAGTAAGACATACTTTGTGGCTTAGTGTTTTTTTGTATAATTGTTGATATTACATTTGTGTTTTAGCAATATTTAATTGCAGTTATAGTGAAACATTGTTTGCATATGTGGGGAAAAAAAGATGTTCCCCAATTGAAATATTTCGAAGGTCTTTCATGATAATTTTTTTTTTTTTTCTTTTTTTTTTTCTTGGGTTGAAGTGCATTCAATCTGATATTTCTGTTTACAGAATATGTTTGCTCTGAATAATATTTAAGTAGGGTCTTTCATCCAAACAGTTTGAGCCTATCAAGGTATGGTACTGGCACATGTTCACTTTTCTTTTACGAAAGTATAACTGGTCAGTATTCATGTGTTGCAGCTAAGTCTTATTGTCTGGGTTCGGTGTCATCTGATTTAGTGGTGCATTGCTTGGTAATAAATTTATGATCAGATTTTGTAGTTTTATGGTCAGATTGGACAAACCAAAAGTAAATATTGACAACAGCAATATGGGAGTGCTAGGTATATGTTTCACTAAAAAGTGAACATACTGTCTTTGATTTCATTGGTCAATATTGAAGTGGAGAGAAAGAGTAGTCACATTTTAAACAGAGACAAATTTTAATTTACAAAATTTGTGTCAATCAACAGTTATTGGACATGATACATGTTGATTTTATTAATAAACTCAGAAAAATATTTTTGCATTAATAATGTAAAACCTGTATTTGTATTATGATATTTTAAGATGACAATAAAGTTTATGTGATACTGTATTCAGAGATCAGCTATGTCATCTTGATTAATGTCTATGATGGGTTGTCACTTAAGGTCTGGCTGGCAAGCAGGCATCAAAACTTATAATCCAACTACCTCTCATCCTCCTGCATAGTAATATTCATATCATCTTTGTGATCTGGTCAGTAAAGTTTCTTTCTGAATTATGAATTAACAAACCCATTCAAAGCTGCTTCCTGTTGAAGTCTTCAATGTCTGTCTGGATGAAGAATCTGATAGACAGTCATTGAATTATTTGTAATTGGGAACTTAAGTAAAATTCGTAATGTAATCATGGAAAAGATTTGTATCGTTTACTCTATTAAAACATGTTGATTGTACATTTTGTGCTTATAAAAACTCTTTGTGAATAAAGATGGGAAACATCACAAGGGTTTTAACTCGAGGAAAATTTGAACGATATCACTATTTATATTTCAAATCTTCATTTTGTATATATGATGAGTTAGTACATTGATGACTTCAAATGTTGAAAGTGACATCACCAGTCATTTTCGTTGAAATAACTCCCTGAAAAAGGCATTATAGAAATCAGTCTGTTTATCTGTCTGTCCATAACTTTGTTCAAAGATCTGGTCTTGTGGTTCTCTCAGAGACTTGGTAGACTTAATTACAAGGGCTTGAAGTTGCCCATTTTTGTGGCATTTTGATTGGATAATTTTTAGAATAGTAATTAACTTTTCCTTGAAATAGATAAATTTGTTGAAATGTTTGAAAAAAGAATCAAAATGATTCTTGTCTGCTAAGATTATTAAGAAAAATATATGTGTATATATATTTAGAGAGAGAGAGAAAAATAATCACTTAACATGACAAACAAATATATCTTTTTAAATTATATATATATATGTACACACAACATGGACAGGATTAAATTACAGTACGGTCTTACTGTATGTAGGGTGAAGATGACAAAAATAAAAACTTTGATATACGCTTTCAATTTTATTGATGTGATATAAAAACAAAACATTTAATACAATGAACATAAAAATGATTACAATTTGTAGTGCAATAATGATGGTGGTACCACACACATTTGTAGTAATGATAAACGTACAGGTGCAAATATCTAAATATATCTGAAGGTACAAAACACAGTCCGTGATCTTTATGAACAGGACATTGTTGGAAAAATGGGAATATATTTATGGTATTTGTTTAAATGAAAAGGTTCATCAGTTTCAGCTTCAGTCGTGATACACCAGTGGGAGACCCAGCCAAATATTTACTATAATTATATGTGTAAAAGTTATTTAGGAACTCCTGAAAACTTGGATTATTTATTGTTACTAAGACTACATTTGGGACAAATTAATTCTGATGTCTCACACAGGACATTTCAGCTTATCACAATTAAGGGACTAAATAATCTTGAAAAAAGCACATTGTAAACTTTAATTACCCCATATGTACAATTTAGTGGCATCTATTATTAAATATGCAAAGGATTCATTTAAAATGGACAGTCCAATAAGTAATTAAATGATTATCTTATTTCATAGAAAAAATCATTGATAGAGATTTTCCCCCAATCATTTGAATAATTTAATTTTTTTTTCAATGAAATTTTTTATAAGACTTTAAAAATACACTAAATAGACGAAAGTGTTACTTTGATTATGTGCCTTCACTTGTTTCTTTGGAGAAATATATATTTTGTTCAATACATTTAATGAAAACACATTGGCTTAAAACAATATTGGTTTGTTTTGATATTGAATACTGGTCTAAAATTAGTAGATGTGGAAATGCAATTTTATAAAAATTTCTTTAAAAGCCATTTTGATAAAGTACGGTGGCTGGTTTAGGACACACATATGTTTTTATTTAAGTCGAGCGCTCAAGATAGTAGGTTGAGCATTTAAGTCGAGCGCTCGAGAAAGTTAAGTTGAGCGCTCAAGTAAGTTAAGTCGATCGCTGGAGATCGTAAGTCGAACGTTCGACTTAAATAAAAAAAAAACAGGTGTGTCCTTAACCAGCCACTGTAATAAAGATATTATGGGAGGTAAAAAACTATCTAATCATTCCCTGTTAGGAACAAAAGCTGAAACAAAAAGCGAAAACTAACTTATTGTATTTGTATTTTTTTAAAGAAGTAGTAGATAATATCAATATGATATCACATGGGTAGTATTTACAGGGAATAAATCCAGTCAAATAATGGATAATGGAATTATGCTTTAGAATGGATTTTAATTATACAAGATCTACAAATATTCACATTTATTTCTGGATTTGCACCAACTTGTTAAACCCATAGTAAACCACCCTTCTCATGTTGCCTTTTTGTTAAGGATGCAATATACAACACTAAGAACTAAAACTACTGTGCATTGAAAACAAATGGATTTTCAAAACGTATTTCGTACCTTATCTAGACTGAGGTAAAGAGACATGACAAAAAAAAACCTCGATAAAGATCAATGATCAATACCAAGGTCAAAGGTCAGTCCTGCCGGAGTCTGAGACACTATACAAAACTACTATAGACAATAGGTCCCCCCAGATGATGAATCAAAATTGATTATAAGCAGCTACACATCCTTTCATGAAAAGATGATTAATTATCAATTAATAACTATTAATTATATTGAAAATATCATGTTTCCTTATATGGAATTCACCACGTGCTGTCATCTAATGAAAGCGTTATCTTGGTTGAAATTGTATGTACAGTTATTGCTTGGTTTGTCTCCTCAGAAAGCTGGCATCGACAGTCTCCTGTAATTATAGAAAAAATAGAATACTATTAACAAATATAAATGCTGTTTCCATGGCAACAGTAAAGTGCCCGTATAAGTGTAGAGTCTATACTATAAGTACAGTGTCGCATTAATGACGTGAGGTAAAGTGTACTCATGTGTTATCGTGTTATTACGTTGTATATTATGTGTCGTGTTATTGTCGTGAATTATTACGTTGTGTAATATGTGTCGTGTTATTGTCGTGAATTATTACGTTGTGTAATATGTGTCGTGTTATTGTCGTAAATTATTACGTTGTGTAATGTGTGTCGTGTTATTGTCGTGAATTAAATATATGTCGTGTTATTGTCGTGAATTATTACGTTGTGTAATATTATCGTGTTATTGTCGTGAATTATTACGTTGTGTAATATGTATGTTTTACTGTTGTGAGTTGTTACGTTATGTGTCGTGTTATTAACATACAATACCACTGTGTGTTATTTGTGGTGTTAATTACGTGTTATACCACTGTGTAATGTATATCGTGTTATGGACGTGTAATAAAACCGTGTATTGTGTCGTGTAATTGAAGTGTGTTATAGCAAAGTGTATTATGTGTCGTTAATCACGTGTTATATCACAATGTATTATTTCTATGTATCACAAAAATAACACAAAAACAATTCTACGTTTAGAATATGTTTTCTATTAAGAAACGTTAAACAATCACTCCAAAATGAAGACGGGTACAGTTTAAAATCACAAGAAGGCGTTGAAATCACTGTGTATATATACAGCTTGAAGGAAAGAAAACACCTAACATCAACCGTTCAGCATCAGCAGCCAGACCACAGTTCGTTGGACACGGATACATCTCATATTGTGTCGTTTTCTACAATTCTCTCATTTCTACAATTGCAGAAACGGACACAATACGAGCCATATCTAGCGGTGAATGGTCGGTAAAAAACACTTCTCGGAAACTCAGACACAAATAAAATTCAACCTTCTAAACAATGATCTCGTATCGTAATTATTATAGAACTGTCTCTTGGAATCTTGTTGATTAACACCAGACAAATCCAATGAAATATTTCCATATGCAAGCCAGACCAACCTTTCCTATTGCTGTCATATATTCCACAGTCATCCTTAGAACGACAATTTTACCTCCAGGTGTGGGAAAGAAATTTCCAACGTAACAGTAATTCCCAGGTAAATATACCATCAATAACATTGAAGACACACAAACAGCAAACACATAATAATTTTGTGATCAACGTGATCCAGCAAACTACAGATTGCAAACTTTGATAACCCTGGCCATGAGTATCTACCAATACATCCAGCGGAACAAGCTGATACACGCACCTGCTGCACTCAAGACTTTCCAATTTACAAAATTCGATATGAACAGAGGAAAAAAAACACACATCAAAGAAATACCAGACTGTGAAAAACTATCTCACTGTGAACTTCGTTAGGTACAGTAACAACAAAACGGGAAAACGTGAGTCACCACAGGTATCATAGGTTTGATATAGTGCTCTGTCGCAGGTCGCGATCAGAGGAACATGTTGTTTGAACTTAAATATGAAGCTGACAATTCACAGTTGTTTCATCTTTCAATAATTTGTTATATTTAATACGCATCACTTACATGAAAAAATACGTTTATTCTGATTTTTTTTCCAGCTGCCACGATCCAAACGAATAGTATTTCTAACACATATCTGACCGCTTTCATGTCTATGTAATCGATCAGTTTATTTCTTTATATCACAAAACTAGATTTTATTACAAAAGGCGTTTAAATTATCCTGTAATTTTCTGTGAAATCTTGAAATGACAGACAATAATTATCAAATTCATGTAAACATTCGTGGATGTATTATATATTTTATTTGAAAAAAAGAGAATTATACTAACTTTAGATTCAAAAAAATAATTTCAAAAAGAAATTTTGCATTATTGTTAAATGCAATTTATTTCGAACTCAAAAAAATAAACTTAAAACAATTTATAGAAGATTCAGAGATAAGATGAAAATGACATCATTTACTATTAAATCGTTTTAACTATTTATATAAAAAAGAAAATGCACAATTTATATATAAAAGGTTGATTTAATATTTCATATAGAATTACTGACTGGGAATGATGGTTTTTCCTGTTGTATTACAAACGCAGTACAAAAGTATGGGAATTAATATCTAATAGTTATTGACTGATACGAAATACACTAATGTAAGTTATACTAAAAATCTTTAAGAAATACATACCACTTTTTACTGTTGTAAGGTTCCTCCTTAAATGTCAATGTGCCTCTCCCCATTTCCTGCGCGTCTTCCGGGACGCGACTTGCCTTCCCGAGCATGTAATTCAAGGGCCCCGCATGACTTTGGGTTCTTCGAAAACTTGACCGTGCTGTAGCTCCTTCTGTGCTGTCTAAATTTCCAGTTCCGTTGTAGATATTTGTAACATCTCGTCCGCTACACTTGGGAGTTGGAGTAGGAACCGTTTCGTTGAACTGCTTGAAATTAGCTTCCCAAAGCCCAGATTGTATGTCAAAGTCTACTATATTAGCAAACCGGGACCCCCACTGGATGTCTTTTGAAGAATACGATGTTCTTGCCTGGCAGATTTCTCCTGTTGATTCAATAGTCCCTTCTATTATTACAATAATTTCGAATGTGTTGGAAAGGATTTCATCAAATTCCATGTTCCATAGAGGACTTTTGTCGTTGATTCTGTGTTTCAGAACTAAAGGCCACATCATGAATACACGGCTATCCATTCCGTGTGCTTCGAACTCCATAGCAGTTTGATACAGGGGGTATACAGTGCCTTCTTTGGAAACCTTTTCGCTGATGAAGATACCACTAGATTTGGTGTCGACTAAATGGGACTTACGCATGTCTCCTACCCGAACCTGAAGACAAAGTTCACCGTCTTCTATACAGATACACAAGCTGTCGCTGAACAGAAGGGTGAGTCGACGATGTTTTGGCCTGGCAACCTTGACGAGGATGAATCCGACAAGTAGCGTCTCTATAAGGAATCCTACTGTCACCTGTAGATAGACTAGAAATAAAGTACCGCCGCATTGTGTATTAGGATACAGAGCGCCGTATCCAATGGTGGTCTGGGTCTCTACCGAGTACATGAATGAGTCGGCGAACGTCTTCATGTTCTCCACACAAGGTCGCCAATCTGGGTTGTTCAAGTTGACAGGGTTGAAATCGTCATGGGCATAGCCCAAAATGTACCAAAGTATAGCAAACACAAAGTACACTAATAGGAATGTTGCACAAAAAATCAACATGGCGTACCGCCATTTTATATCTATCAATGTCTGGAAAATATCTTTCAGAAATGGAATCCTTTTCTGCTGTTTGAGTCCTTTGTACGAAACTCTATATTTCCCGCCTTTCTTAAGTAGCGCCGGGCGTCCAAGCTGATAACCATTTTTGAGTCCCTTTTCCTCCTTTGCGCCATTTACCGATGGAAACTCCAAAAGTTGTCCGGGGTCCTCCTCGGATTCTGTCGGCCTGGGTTTCCTGAAGCTTGCCAACAGTGCGCTCCGGTGATCGTAAGACATGGCGTGATGTTCAATATGAAATATATTACTGTATTAGGCTCTGATCCGCTCTTGACATGCTCAGCAATGGTGAAAATGAGAAAGACTTAGGCGAATTAGGCAACTTAACGTGCGGAGACCTGCGATACTGTGACGAGGTCCATGATTAAGATGGAATTATGACGAACTGATGACCAAACTGCAAAAAACTTGGGCTTTATCAATCATGAGTGGGGCCGGGGAAAATTTATGAGATATGGAACGTTCCGATTGGTTGTTCGGAGACAATGACTTCTTGCTTTATTGATCCCTGTTGTCAGGTAGGACTTATTTTGTTAATTGTTCAAGAGTACGAATGACCATGATGGCGGTTTATTGAGAGACGGTGATGGATGACAAGCCGCCAGCGGAGGAATGTCAGAAGCATCACTTTAAGTATTGCTCTCGGCATCGACGAACATGTAACTCTTCGCCTTTTGCACAAAGCAATCATTGTATGTCCGCGGGGCATCAAAGGGCCAGAAGTGTTCCGAACGATCATTGCCGAGTGATCAATATAAACCTTCCCTATACATCTATATGAACCACAGCGGACGGCTTCAAATTAGTTTTATTTAGAATCTTGCACTGCTTTATAAATATCAATAAAATTACATGAAAAATATTCAAGAAATAGCGACGAGAAAGTATTTCATTTTCAATCACACATGGACATTCTGAAATGCATAAATAATAAGATTTTAAAGTAAAAGAAATAAGAATATATAAAAGAGTTAAATTATATAGCAATATTGTTAATTTTATTTTTGTATATATATGATTTCAAATGGATGAACATTACGTTAAGAAATTGTATAAACCATAAAACTATTATGTTGATAAATTTGCTTTTGATTTAGCAATGACCTGAACTCATGATTTGATGAAACGTCTTGATTCAACCAATGTCTTGTCAAGATGCTATACATGTAATCCACGTCTTTGTATGAATAATTCTTATCTTTGTTTCGTATGCTTGCTTCAAATGTAGATAATATTTCAAAAAATAATTCTCGTTTGCAACCAAGAACTGTCAATTTCATGTGACTATTTTCTTATACTGATATCGACGCCCTTTATAAACATGTTAACATTTTCTCGACTTTAATTCTAGTAATTAGTTGTAATTCAAGAATATATTTTTGTAGTTAATATTTGTTTCCATTAGCGTTTTGTATCAGCTTACCAATGTTTTTTTCCTATCAAACTAACTCTGCTATCAAACAGTAAAACAGCTTAACATTTCTTCCTTATTTAGAATGTAGACCCACCTTTCCAACTTTCATAAACGTTTTGCCTACCACAAAGTAAAATAAAAACGAAATAAACAAATAAGTATAACATTTTCTTCCAATGTAAGACGAGTGGTGTCTATATTTGTCTCTCTATAAACATTATTATGTATATTTATGTTAATCGTGAAGAACCTTTAGTACTTATCAAACCATTTCTATTCTATTGTCTCTATGGATATTGTGTGATTTATTAATGTGACTATTTAGATACAGACTCAAAAATATGATTTGCCTTCCCCATACACTAAATACCAACATGTTAAGTCGATAAGTATACAGAACAACATTTTATTCTATTGTGATATTACTAACTGTATATCCTTGTTGTTTTTAATGTTATAAAGGCGATAATGAGATGTTAAGTTGTACAAGCTTATCCCGACGGTATCTCTGCATGACAGTACAATTTCAAGAAACATTGATAAGTGTGTGCCTTAGTTATTTCATTATCTTAACTAGTTGATAGAGGATATATGAGTTTGTACAGCGGAATTAGGTGTTCATGATTTAGCTGTTGACAACATAAACATATTAGAAAATGTCGTTAACGTCTTTATTCTATATGAAGATATTTCTGTTGTTTCAGATTTAGATCAGTTTAATAGGCTGATGATATTTATGTGTGTGTTTATATATCTATATTAATTTTTCAATCTAACGCATTTGAATTTCGCGATACGTAGAATTTTAAGGTGTATTATAAAATAGTTACTGTTGTAAGTAATTAGACTTGTTACATGTCAACTAAGAAACGTTGATATGTACAATGTCTTCATATAGAATAATATCGCAACAGTTGTAAGTGATGTGTGTTCCGGGTCCATATTCTGTTTTTTAGCTGCCACATCACTATTCTTGTAATCTGGAAACAGAATGAGGTATTCGATAAATCGACAAATATCGCATTGTTTAAGAAATTTTTCTTAATATGTATGAAATGTTACAAAATTAAACAGAACACCTAATGTGTTTGAGATGTTACATGGTGAGGTAAAACATTTTGTTGTTCCTACATGTAAAGACTAATTAAATTATAATATCTTAAAGCATAATTAACAACTGTCTGCTAATGAATGCATATGAAATATGTTTTATTTTGTTACTTTCCTGTCTACGTGATGCGGACGTGTTCCTCTTCATCAATCTAATATACATTTAAAGACATTCAGTTATATGAAGCTGCCATATATGAAGAAAGAACTTAACAGAATTATATTAGTTGCATATTACTGGACAACAACCCACAGTCTTTTATTAGTATTAATACAGCGATGTATAAAGATACATTTAATGCTTTAATATGACGCCACAATACTTACTTTTTCATTTTGCTTTAGATACAGAACATTGTAATAAAGACATACAAATAAATATAACCTTTTGGTACAAATTGAGAACTAGATAGAGTCATACTATGTATAAAGCTCCAGAATACAAATGTTTGGTCCTTTTAGGGCTTTCCCGTGATGATGAAAAGGACCTAAATTATTTTGAAACCTAAAAGGCGTCTGGGAGAAAATCCAAGGTGACGGAAAGCAATTCAGAAGACTACAAGTACATTTGTATATACACTGTACTGATATTTGCCGGTATTCGAACTAAATAAATATGTAATGTTAATCCAATTGAAACTATAAAGAGATTCAGTAACATACTACTTTTCTTTCTGTAATACTTTGTGAATAGACAGGTGTGTTTTTTACGATGTGATAAAAACTTTCTTTTTCTTTTTTCATTAAATACCGATATGGGTATGTAATTCAAATCTGATTGATAATATTAATGACACAGTGACCATTTACATTACTTCTCATTTTACTTTGCTGTCATGTGAATAGACAGGTGTGATATTCTTACTGGTACTGATACAGGTAAAAAAAAAAACACCAATACATGTGACGAGGTCATTCCTTAGTAGTCGATCATCAACTGACCTCGGGGTATATCATGACTGACTCGGTAAAGATAGCGCCACACAAAAAGATACATTTCTGTTTACCTTTGATAAATATCTCCCTGTTTATGTGTTTCAAATGTAAGCAAAATGTTATTCAACCAATATTCATTGTCTACATAGATATAATATATTAAAAATTCATGATTAACTGTTAATTGTAGTTGAGTTCTTAAGCGGTAATCAATAGTTGAGACTGATCCGTTTAAACTGCTTAGTATTGACAAAGCCTTCAGCTATGTTGTACATATACTTCTGACAAATGTGAACCTGACATATGATATAGTTGTGAGATGATATATATATATATAATAAAAAGCTATCGGTTAATCAACAGATGTATTCTTGATAAAAAGTGATAAAATTACCTCGAGTAATCCCACACACACACACACACACACACACACACACACACACACATATATATATATATGTATATATACCAACTTAAAATAGCATCTGATAACAAAATGAACATATCCAGAAGCGTTTTCAATATATTTGTTAATTTCACTCATTTTGTCACTACATATGTAACAATTAATGAACGTGTGTGTAAATATAAAAGTATTTATCGTGACCTAAAAATGTTATTCTCATGACAACTTTTTGTTTAGTTTTTGAAAATTAAAAGCAATATGACAAAATATAAGTAGTTTGTTGCTTATCAATCAAGAAGATCATTTCCTGACGATTTAGAATAGCCTACAAGAAACACATGATAGATAACTAGAGTGAATCATATTAAGTGGTTGAATACATTTTGAAGCCGTAATTCTATCTTTTATATAAAGACACAAGTGATTTATAGTACTTGCCTGAATACTCTTATAAATCTATACACCCTGAAGTTATGTTCCTAAATGTTTTATACACTTCATTATCTAATGAAACGAATCGACCCATTTCAGTTGTTTGAATAATTTGAAGTATGAATGAAATTACTGATTTGTAAATGAACTATTGAAGCTATCACAAAAGTCCATCAAAATGAATATAAATCATTTGAGTTAAATATCAAACAAAAAATGAGAGTTCCACATTAAGTACTTCCATGTTAAAATAATCATAAATACCGTCATATAAGTATGCCAACGGGAATAACAGGCAGTCGTACTTACGATCAAGATCTCTGGGAACGTAATGTCTTTATACAGCGCGTACCTCAACAGGTGTTCATAATATTAATAAAATTCATTATGGTGTGGAATGAAAATCGCACCAGCAAGAAGCTAGAGAAAGGACAATCCTGATCCATGTCGAAATGAACAACGCTTCTGTTCCTGTAGTATCCTATTTCTGTAATTAGATCATTGCAGAATCACGATTTTCAGGAAACTAACATGATTATGTTGTAAGCATGACCATTTATAGCTTTCTTCAAACAAATGGCATCGCATCTAAGAGCTTTGATTTTTTGTTATAAGCCTACGTCCATTTCATGTGACAAATTAGTAAAATCACGGAAATGAGGTTCAGTTGAACTTTTTCTGTTTCAACTTTGGGGTCAGGTTCGTGCTGTAGTTGGAAGTTGATCGGGTTTAGGGTGGTTGACAGTGAAGTTTCTTTATAAGGCTGGGTGTCTCGACTCCCTAGTTTGATGTGTGGGAACCTGCGTTCGGCAGGTACAGATAATGGATTACCGCTTCCGTAGTCAGACTTATTTATGTAGCTCTCACCAATGTGAAAGTTTATAAACAAAAGTGAAGTCATTCATTTTCAAGTTCATTGGG